CACCACCATGGTGCTTTGGGTAATTTATACAGAACTCCCCTATGGTTTGTCATAATTAAACGGACCTCCCCTCTGGCTTGGGAATTTACACGGACCTCCTCTACAAATAAAACTATCTTACGCGGACCTCCATTCTGTTACGGTCAACGCTAGTCAACAATGGATTCTACTGATATCATCCATTTAATTAAGTTAAATACCCATAATACCCTTATCCCTACCAATGATTATTTCTCTCTCCTCTTTCTGCCTCCTACCAATTCAGGCTATATCTTAGGTTGATGATGGAATTTGGATAACTCCTCGTCATTTGGGAGATAATGTTTACTAACAATGCCTGATGATATGAAGGTAGAAGATTGGCATAGCCACGCCACTTTTCTTTTTTCACGCAAAATACGTTTATTTCTCTTCCCTTAGATCTAGGTCAAATTTTCACACACTCTTTTTTCTTCTGCCTCTTCGTTTCCTTTTTTCTCTATCTTCATTGGTTCTTTCCCTTTCTCTCTCCTTTCTCTGGTAATTTGATTCTTGTTCTAGTTCATTGGTTATTCATTTCTCTTCAATTTTCATATATGTTTGTGGGTTCTGATTGAATTTTAATATGAGATTGGCTTCTGAATTCTAGCTTAGGATTTTTTTTTTTTTATTTTTTATTTTTATTTTAGATTTCTTCATATATGTAACCAAATTGGGTATACATCAGTTGACTACCCAAGAGCAAAGTTTTTAGTTTTATACTCCCTTTGTCCTAATTTAGATGTCACTTTTGAGGAGTAGGAATTTTTAAGGGGACATGTGAGATATGCATTGTCTTCCTGAAAAATTACTAATTTGCCCTTTTAAGTTTTGAATATTTAAGTTTAAAATTTTAAACTCCAAGGACATGTATGGAAAGATGAAAAATATATTATTTGAAAAAGGAAGGTGACAATTATTTTAGGATGAACTAAAAAAGTAAGCATGACATTTTTTGTTTGGGACAATGGGAGTATATTTTATAATTTCATATTGGCTGTTAAATTTTTAGGTTTTGTAGAAGACAACAGAGACAAGCCAACAAAAAGCACAAACTTCTAGAGTCTGGACATGGCAGTCCTCCATCATCAACGCAGTTATTCGGACTAAAAGGAGATGATCAAGACCATATGAAGCAGTAGTAACAACAATAATTAGAGGGCTAGAATGAGAGAGGAGAGAGAAAGAACCGATAAAGATTAAACCAGAGAGAGAAAAACATCTTTTCACTAAAAAGAAAAAAAAAAATTGAGGGCATTTTAGTAAATTAAACAGGTTCATTAGTCCATTTGACGGTCCATCACTAAGAGGGGAGGCCTGTGTAGGTTAATTTCATTTTTAGGGGAGGTTCGTGTAAATTCCCAAATCAGAGGGGAGATCCCTCTAATTATGACAAACCATAAGGGAGGTCTATGTAAATTACCCTTTCCTTTTTAGATTTTGTTCTCATTTTCTTTGGCTGAAATTATCAGTAGTGAAATTATCAGTGTTTTTTAAATGATTCTTCTTTTTTAGCCAAAAAAAAAAAAAAAATCATTTAAAAAACACATCATAAATTATGAAGTATTGCATTTACAGTCATTAGCCTAAATAGCACTCGCACTCTCCCTCTCTTTGAGTTCTGATAAGTATACAAAATGTGTCATCACTCTCTTCCTTAATTTTCTTTTTCTTAATTAAAATTAATCTGATAAAAATGGATTTCTTTAAGTAGCTGGAGTAGTTCATGTGGGTTGAGCGTTTTTTTCAAGGAAATATAGAATAATGGGGACATTTAAATAACTAGTGTATTATTAATATTCATGTACGTGAGCACCCATAAAAAAATATTATCTAAACTATTATTGATATGATTTCAATTACTCCAAATTGTACATTTTGGTTTGTTATTGACTCAACGTTTTTAATTTCTTGAGGAAGCCACCGTGCTTAAGCTTTCGGTCTCAACAATTTCGATTTAATTTTTAAAAGAGTGAACAATTAGGAGCGATTTAGTTCACTGAAAAAAAAAAAAAAAAATTCAAACAAATTTGAATCAATCCATGATATTTAAAAGCACATCGTGTATACTAAACTGTACATTTGTTTTTCATCTAATTGGTCTAGTCATATGCACAACTTCTCAATAGATGGCAAAACACTCCAACACTCCGCTTTATTAGTAATGGTTATGAAAATGGTTAAATAGTGTTGTAACAGGAATTGAAGTTAATATTTAAAATCCGCACAGTTGCGGATTAAAAAATATTATAACTCTGCATTATAATTTATTTTATATTAAAAATATTATGGATATATTAAGCAAAAAGCTAGTTATCCTATTACACTAATTAGATATTATTTTATATTATTCTTATTTAGGATCTCTATGTATTAATTTAATTTAATTATAATAATATTAATTCTTAAGTTCTGAGAAAGAATTTTATTTCATTATTTACTTTTGTTTGAATAGTAAACACAAGTACAAAAGTACTCTTTTAACCCCGTCTCTCTGCCCCCCACCTTGTATATATCCTACTTCATTCAATAAACGATTCGGGATGAAAATCAAAGAGCTTTGCTTTATTAGGACAGGACTGGGGCAGGACTGTAGGAGTCTCCAATGATTTTAGAAATATGATACAATATGAAGTATGTTATAAAGAGATTTACAATGTCATCGAAATCGAATTGAGTAAGGCTTGATTTAAACCAAACCTATTTAATAGCATTGAATAAGTGTGAATTCGGAAATATTTTGGAACCCTGAGTGCGACTCTACCCTTCGGTGGTGCATACTTGTTCTTATAAGCTTTGAACTCATAACGTTCTTGTTATGCTCGCCCTAACGACCCAAATGGACCCGGCAACAACCGGATAAGGATCCAATCCATTTGTGCTGCCTGTGTGCCCTTTTAGGTCCGACATCCTTCCCGTCAAATCCGACGTGGGAAAATGGTCTATATCTAAAGGCATATATATAAAAGAATAAAACCGCGCCTAAATCAAAAGCAGAGCAAACAAGCTCGTATTTCTGCAATTCTCTCCATCTCTCACTAAATGGAACCTTCAAAAAGCTGCAATGGCGTCTTCACCATCTCAATCCAACGGTCAACTTCTTCCGCGTTCCGGAGTTGACTCGCTGCTCTCATCTCTCATCTACGGTTCTCTCTCTCTACACAAACACTATGTATTAGCTTCAATTTCTAGGTCGATCGATGCTTACATTAAACAACTGTTTAACTATCATCTACCTTTCATTGTAAATTATCTCTCTATGCGCGCGCGCTCACTATGTATAACAGTAGCTTCCATTTCTACGTCGATTGATGCTTATTTCAATTTATTGTTGTAGTCTGATCTACTTTTCGTTGAATAATATCTTATATCTGCGCGTTAACTTTCCTTTGCTGGTATTGTGAGAAATTTTGCTCTCTCTGTGCTCGAACATGTAATCAATGTTCTAAATTTTTATAATCTTGCGTTCTTCACAATTACATAGTGTAAATTTCTTATGGCATTGTAGAATTTCAACGTGTTTGTGTAATTTTTAGCTTTTTCAAAATTAGAATTTAAATTGTGAATATTTGTTGTGATTCATAGTCTCATTCCGATTTACTGTATGTGTTCAACAAAATTTGTTAAGTAGGTTCAGAATAATTTTTGATTGATGATTTGATAAATTCCACATGAGATTCCCTATGGACAACTATTTTAATTATTTCGTTTGGTTTTGTTTTAGTAGACAATTTGTGTATGCTTCTTGCTAACTTAAATTTATGTTAAGACACTTATCATAAATATTAATGTAACTCAACCTATTCTTGATAAAATGGTTTTGCATTTTATGATTATTTTCTGTTGTTCAGTATTTTTAAGTATGATGCGGCAAAGAGACTTAGTTACCGTACTCTGTGTAGTTGAATTTGATCCGATCTTGTTAAATACTCGTTAAGTTGTTGATCCTATTAAGTTGTTGTCTTGTTGCTACTGAGAATCATTCAGATTCAACTGTGATAGATTTGTATGTGTCATTTGGACATGAGAATCCCTCAGCTTTATGCAATTTTCATCTGTTGACATAAAACCCTTTCCTTTTATGAGTGCAGATCTTTCACAGCAGGTGCAATCAGCTATGGAGAACATGCTCAAGATGATAAAGTGAGCTTATAAGCTGCGCAAAGAAGAATCTGTTTCACAGTTTCTGTTCACAAGCTTCTTAATTGTCTTCTTTATTCAGTGCTTACATAGCAGAAAACTTCTTCATAGAGAACTTTTATGCTATTAAACTTAAAAAATCCAGGAAAAAGATTCTGCCTCCCAACATTAATACCTCCTCCTCCCCCTTTTTTATGCTGAGGAGATTATGAGTACCTATTTCCACGTACTTAAGAATTTAATTTCATAGCGTCTGTAATTATACGCTTCCTCTTTTCCCCATTGAACAAATAATAATCCCATTCACTTCCTTTCCCTCAGGGTCCTCTTCTTACTCATTGCTTAGACACTTCTATAATTTCAATGCCGACTTCTATTATTTCAATGCTATTATTTAAGTTTAATAATTTTCTTCTTTCAATTGCTCATCAAAACCTTTCATGTCCAATGCTGCTCCATTGCCTGTTCTCTTTTGATAGTTCTTCTTTTTGATCTTGCTGGTGATGAATACCATTATTTTTTTTCATGGTTATTCATTATCACTTTGGTTAAATCGGAGTACATTTTAAATTAACAGCATTATACTACTGGAATTTGCATTGATTCCGTTTATATTAATGTTTATCTTTCATCTTCCCTTTCCACAGGGAAATTGATCAAAACTCCACTGGGATAGTGAAAGAGATAGAGAAGCGCAAAACCTCTGGCTCATGAGAGGAAAATAGGTTTGGAGGATGAGAAGGATTGTTTTCAGAAAGCTGCTCACAGTGTTCTAGACATGCTTAACAACAGGGAGATCAGATAAACGCTGTAAGCTCCAACATTTTCCTTGCTCGCATTTTTGCTACTTTAATATGGAGTAAAACTTTCAGTTTATTATTTAAGTTTCTCATACATACATTATTGATCCAGAGGTTGTTCTACCATGCCACTGTATATCTTATAAAATTTTGATTTTTCCTTCATTTTTTTCCCCTGAAAGTTCAAGCAAACGCGCACACACTCACAATATTGGCCCTAGTAGGGTTCAAACACTCAACCTCTTCTTTGGGGAGGAGAGATCATACCATCTGGGCTAATTAGGAGTAGCAATTCGTGTTGGCGTGTCATGTTTGTGTCGACACGATTATTAATCGTGTCTAAGACACGTAACATTGACACAAACACGACACGTTTAGTTAGCGGTTCAATCCGTGATCGTATTCGTGTCATGTCAAATATTGCCACCCCTAGGGCTAATGCCCATTGCTGTTTTTTCCTTCATTTTGTTACGGTACATATTATATTTTCAAAGATTAAAGAAATTGACATTAATACTTTTCAGACCTCAAAAGATAAATAAGTGATCATTCTCTCTTAGAGCACTCAATTCTTCTACTTGAGAGCCATCTGCCATGAGAATTGTACTTCCTCTTTTCCCAAACTTCTTTTCTGCATCCATCAAGTATAAAAAGATTAATAATTTTATATTGGCAAGTCTTCTCCCTCTGAATTGCACCCAATAAATATGTAAGTAAATCACAGGCATGCTGAAATTTCAAATCATGTGCAGAAGAAGTGTCAAGGGCTGGTGGTTGAAAACCTTAATTTTCTTGGGAATGTTAAACATTTCCATTTCTTATTCATGTAATCTTTTTGTGATAGATGATGTAATCTGTATAATCCATCCATGTGAAGAACTTATGAGCCTTTTCTGATCGCTCTTGCGGTCTCATTGTTCATTGTTATATTGTCATTATTGTTATTTATGCCTCATAGTAAATGCTAATATATTCCCTTACGATTGAAAGGAAAGTTCTATTGAACAGCTTTTGGACCAGCCATACTTGAAGACACAAAATGTTGGGCAGCCAGGAAACAACATATGAATAAAGTGAGTGTGGCGGAAATGAGAATGTTGAGATGGATGTGTGGTAAGATTAGAAAGGATAAAAATTAGAAATTATCACACTTGGGAGATGGTTGGAGTAGCACAAATTGGAGATAAAACGGGAGAGAATCGGTTAAGATGGTTTGGACATGTGCAAAGAAGACCTTTAAATGCGCCAGTTAGAAAAAGTGACAAAGTCCATATTGAGGGTAATACTAGGGGAAGAGGAAGACCAAAGTTAATGTGGGTAGAGTTGGTAAGGAAGGATGTGATAGCATGTAGATTGACTAAGGCTATGGCTTTAAATAGAGGGGAATGGAAACAAAGTATTCATGTAGCCGACCCCTGGTAAAGGCTCTTAATGAGAAAGTACGAAAAAACTTGTGTTTGGATTAAGCTTGCCCACATCGCCTGATTGAAAATGAATCGAATTATTGATTGTTGTAGTAAAATGCTAATACATGTGATCCAGATTCTGATGTCTGCTAAGGTTCTTAATGATAGTTTTCATATTGATTACTCACCCGCTAATCTCAGAAGGTCTTCTATTGAGTCAGGCAGATGGATAAGTTTTCCCATTTTGTCTCCTTCTGTTGTTTTATCATCTGGATGATGTGGATGGATTACCAACCTCATGGGAAATTTATTTGATGATGGAGGCATTGTTGGTGCTCCTGCAAGATAATAGCATAATCCATATGAAGTTGCTCATGCAAAACTACAGATTCATTTTAAAAACTTTTATGGAAACAAAATATGTCAATCTCTAAAATTCTCAATTTATCATGATTAAATCAAATTGCCAAAGGGGAATAGACTGAACTAGCTTGGTTATGAAGATTGGCCAGATTGAGTTGTAAACTTGTAATTGGTATTTGCATAAGGGCATTGGATTCGCCTTACAACCTGATTAAGGTTAGGCAATAAGCTGAACTAGCTTGGTTACAAAAGATTGGTTGCAACTATGTGTCTCCAATAAATTTGACATTTGACGAATTATAATGACTAAATCAAATTTTCCATCTGCAACTAATGTAGGTTAAGAAATCAGTCACGCTGATTGGAGATAGTTCTGTATGTCAATATTTTCCACTAGCGATGGCTATAGGCTAAATTAGCTTGGTTAAAAAGATTGATCAGACAGGGTGTTGAGCAGTATTTGCAGGACACTGGACACTGCTTACAACTTGATTAAAGTTATGCGATAAACATGATTGATCAAAGTTTCTAAGATACAAATTAAATTGAGCAGGGATTCATTTATTGGAGAGTTGTGATTGACCTAACAGTGAGACTGTGAGAAGTTCATGCTCTTTTAAATAATCATCCATGGGTCAGCCAGTTGTTTTTGGTTATTTATATATGCGTCTGTGACTGTAATCGGGGTGGTCTAACAATTTGATAGTATTGTTTCTGATGCTATATTTAACTTTTGGGCAAAAATTTGTCATTCACCTTTATTCGTACCGGAACCCCCCCATACTAATGTATCTGATCCTGTACGGAAATGATTTAAGTTATGCTTGAGCTTACCAACCTTCAATATGTGCTTCTCTACTATCATTTGATGCTTCATGATTTTGTGGTTCCTCATTTGATGCTATATTCTGCAAGATAAGATATAAACTGATGAAAAATTGTTAGCTTAAACAATGATAATTAAAAAGATGATGGTTCTTTTCCCCGCGAAAGATATGTCTGGGTTGCTATTCTTGACGATAACTGAGTTGAATATTCTGTATGTGTATATAGATTTCCATGCATGGAACTCTTGTATTTGTTCATTTGTCTCTTGGATGTTAAGTATGAGTTTGGTCCCAAGTAAGCAAGGACCAAGGTTGTGAAATGGTTTATTTATTACAGTTATGGTGAAATCTGAGAAATAAAGTAGAAATATTTTCCCATTATTGTTGTTAACAATATCTTGGCTTTGTGATGAATTGACAATATCCCAAGAAAAATTTAGAAAAACAAGTAAATTTCAGAAATAATTAAAAAAAATATATATATATGGAGGAGGAAGTCATTTATAAACTAAATGCATCAAATATGCATACACTGTTATGTGCTTGAAACCATCTATTTTTTTGTCCCCTTCTCCAAACAGGGAATTTTCCAAAGTGGTTTGTATGAATATATTTGACCTGTGCAGTCTAAGTGCTACATGTGTTCATTCTTAAAAAGGTATTTGAAACATTTCAATAGTGGAAATTTATCAGCTAGAGTACTACGTATGCACTATCTCCTGCCCACCCTTAATGGGATAGGATTAGGGTTCAGGTCCCAACTAAGAAACGTGTGTTATCAAAATGAAATAAGCTTTTTTTGCAATCCTAAACTCTCTTTTGTTATATTTGTATCATGCGCATGAGTAGGTTGGATGCATCTCCAAGCAATTACTAAATTTAAATAAGAGACCCCCTAATGATTTATCTTTTCTCTTTGATGCTCAAAGTATCAAACGAACTGCAAACATCTTTGTAAGATAATAATTTTCCTGTATTCTATTCAAATCTCAAGTGTATGAATTTTCTCGCAGTTGGAGAATTGGCAATTTTATGCATTTCCTTTCTACAACAAGATGAACCTGAATTTTGATTCATTGTTTAATATATATTTTACACACATCTACATAGTTCGAGATGATATATTACCTCTATATTTACTTCGCCCAGCAATTCTGTTAGAAATGGTATCTCTTCTAGCATCTCCTTTTTTAAGTCCTTCAAATACTGAGCATGGAAGAATTAGTAACATACATCTGCATGCAAGGGTGAGATGAAAATATTGAAAGAATGAGGACCACCGAATTATTGGGCTCCTTGTGACGTGTGATTGGAAATCTATTAAGCAGAAAATACTGGTGTATGAGCATATTTATTTCAATGGTGACTCTGATCCCTATTGTGGTTTTTATTTTGTCAACCAGTGATGGTTTTACAATTTCATGACAAAATGTATTAATTGCTTGTGAAAATGTAAAACTGATGATAACTAGGAAAATGATGAGATATAAGAGATTTGAATTCTAAAACATGTCAAAGAGTTCCAAACCTGAACAAAGTTGGAGATAATTTTCTTCCCATCTTCATTCTGCAGCTGCACTATTTGCTTAAAATGATGATGACTAATGCGGATCACCTGAGAAAGCCTCTTACTTCTCACCGTAAAAGTTTGTGGAATATTGAAAATTACTCCTATTTCTCCTACAATATCCTTGGATCCCAACTTTGTCAAAAACTGAAAAGCCAAAGAATTAGTTAAAAACAATTATTAACAAAACACCTATTTCTATGATTTTAATAGATATTTTGGGTTTATTATTTCTTCATTCTTTCCTTTCCTTATGTTATGCTTGTGTATGTTACACAATATTAAAGCAATTTATGAAGCTGATCTACATGTCACCGGAAAGCCTATGTGATGTTGTGGCTTGAATTTGGTGCCGGGTCAAGTTGCGACCTGTTGAAAGGAAAAATTTTGACCCCTTTTTTTGGTCATGGGTCGTGGACCATAATTAGTCTCTTGTAGCCCGATATATAAGGGTGCTTAGGGTTTGGAGTGGTGTAAGAGAGAGACTCTGAAATTTGTACAGAAACAGAGTGGGGTTGAAAACTGGTAATCTTCGATTTTACACATAGTGAAGACTTTCGCCGGATCCCAACCATGGATGTAGGCTGTTGCCGAATCACGTATAAATCTTTCTGTCGTGATTCTTGGTTCTATCTTGGGTTCATTGCGTTCGTCATAGCAGCCTAGTATAAGTAAAACTCAAGTTGTATTTTGAATAATAGCAGCCGGCATATTTTGCTAATAATCTATAGCTGTTCTTTGGCATTGGTATATATATTTATTTCTTCAAGTCCATCTCTTTGTTATTTGAGCATGTAAACGGTGTTCGTAATTAAATCTAAAGGTTTCATCTCCCCAAGTAAATATTTCTGAGCATTTTTGTTGAACCTGCCTTTTCATTTGCTAAAACAGGTTGCTGTCGAAACTGTACAAGGACAATGGTCGGTTTATTTTTCCAAAAGGTATGACCTTGTGGAGCAGTTTCCATTCTTGTTGCTCCATTAGCAATACAGTAGAGGCCGTTGCAGGCCTTTTAGATGTCATATTTTTGGGTCTCTGACAGATAATTCTTTCTAACAATTTGATATTGGCTTCAAACTGGGTCCCATAATCTTGTGTTACTATCTGATGATGAACTGTTAGTTAATTGATATTATACTAGGTATTACCAGTTAGAAATTTGCATTGACTTTTTGCTGTTTTTTAAAGACTTTGATGCTACGTACCTTATGAATTGAAAGCTTACTTCTCTTATATAATGGATTGATTATAGTAATTAAAATGCGATAGAGCTGTTAAATGGAATCACAGGTAACATATTTGTTCTGGCTCTCCATATTTCTTTCTTCTAAAATAATGTTTTTCTGTGCTTAATTGCTTATGAATTAAGTGCGTTTGACTGGCAGCCTGTTATATGTGATGTATTGATGTAACATTAACATCATTTTCATTCTTCATGTTTTATTATTTTGTGTTAATCCTTGTGGCATCTGGTATCCCCAATATATTATAATTATCATTTATTGGTTGGAATATCATCATTGATTTTTTTATTTTATTTTATTTTTTTTCAATATTTCTCCTAGTCCATTCAATGCGTGTCTAATTTTAATTTTTAATTTTTAATTTTTCATTTTCTTTTTGTTAATTTTTTTTACCATATTTTGTATACCATGCAGTTAGAAATATACAGGAAGTTCTCAAAAGATATCATTCCCATTAAGGCAAAAAAGAAATAACATACCTGCTCCATTCCGTTTTTGTATATCACCACATCCTGCAGTTCTAGATAGTCAGATTTTGCATCTTGGAATACAAAGGACAAACATTTGAGATAAATGATGACATACCACGGCTCCAGAAACTATAATGTAGAAATCTGTAGGTATTTCATTTTGTAAGATAATGTCAACCTTTGGTGGAAAATATTCTGCTTTCATCTCCGAAATCTGCAAGGACAAAGCAACAAGATACTGCTGAGAGAACAATCTTTCAGAAGCACAATGTCATCTTTGTTACTCTCGTTTAGAGTTTCAATAGTGGGTTTCAATATGTATGCATATTGTGTTTCCATCTCAACATACTTATTTTAGCTATATGTAATATGCATGTAATCGAAGAACAAATCAAAGAGTATCCTTACATTTTCATTTTACATGTAATTGAAGAACGAATCAAGGAGTATCCTAATGTATTTCTCTTTTCTTTTGTTGGACATAAGTAAGGTTGACATGGCCACATTCCTTTTTCTAACATATTTATGTGATTAAAGTTTCATTACCCAGTGTGGTCAGTTGAACGAGGGGGCTGAAGGGGCAGATTAGATATATATATCTAACCTTTGACATTATTTGCACAAATTGGCAGCTCTTAGGATTTGAACCTGCATTCTCACGCTTGACACCCCGAGCATTTTACAATTAAGACAAAAATGAACATTTTATTTGGTTATAAGGGTGCTTGTCCTAGTGAACTAGGAATATATTCCTTTCTCCCTTTAGTCAGACATGTTTATCAAGTACATGGTATTGTATATATGTAAAGTAATAGGTGCTTGCTTTTGGATATTCCATAAAAATACTTGTATAAAATGTGTCAAACATGGGGGCTTCACATTATGAGATGCCCATCTGATACAATGCTAGGCTTGCTGCACTCTGCATGTATTGCATCTTACGATAGAAAAGTCTTATGATTAACTAAATAACTAAGGTGCAAACAGCATGAGACAATAATATATTTACCTATTCTTTCAATGAGTGAGTTTATTATATAATAGATTGATATTGTTATTGTGATTTTTTAATGAGTATGATATCTTCATTGTAACCATAACCACGTCCAAAAGACTTGACAGTACGATCATTTTTATTATGTAGATGGAAGAAAAATGTTTTACCAACTGGGTGGTAAGGTCTTCAGAGACTCCTTTGAAGAGGTAGGAATTTTCTACAGTTCTCAGGAAAAGATGCTGAGCAATACTAGATCTTATTGCCTTGGGCAGGTCTTCAAGCACTTCTTCTTGCTTCAATTCTGCTGTCTTGAACTTGAGTTGCATGTGTGCAAGAATTTGCTCCTTCAAGCCTTCGGGAAGTCTATTCTTGCTTGCATATCGCAGTATTTCATTGATGGTATCTCTCTGCATAACCACCATTAGTCATAGTATGGTACCATAGATACTTTATTTTTGTTAATAGTGATGTATTGATAGAAGAGGCACATGTTAAAGATTTGATGAAAAAGGGAGGGAGGTGTGGAGGCAAATAAATACACTACATTGTTCTCTCTGCTGAGGGGAATGGTGTGAGTTACTGGTACAATAATGGAACTTAGCTTTTTATCAACTAAGTCATCACGAAAAATACTTGTAAATGGTATCATTAAAAATGTTGAGGATTTACCTGTTGGAAGGCTTTAGATCCTTTTCAGTGACAACTTTGTTAGATGAGAACTGATTTGAGTGCTAAAATGCTAAAATTTAGAAATTTGCATGGAAATATTGGAATCATTTACTAAAGTAGGTGTAGGTCTCGAATCTCAAAAATAGATATACTATAAGATTGAAGTATGGTAGAAGTTTGAGTTTTTGAAACCTTGAGTGGTTACATTTGGCATTTCCTTGAATGTAAGTATTCTTGTAGCAGGCATTTCGATGAAGAATGAGCCAATAATGAATGGGATTTTTCGATAAATGGGAAATAAAAAATGCTTCGGGATGGAAATGAGGGAATGTCTACAATACCTGAGTTTAATCAGATACAATTTGAAGGATTTTGTAGGTTCATTGATCGGGGCTTGACGGAAGAACTTTATAAGTTTCCAAAAATTGAAGATACAGATCAAGAAATTGATTTTCAATTATTTGTGGAAACATATCAATTGGTAGAACCGTTGATAAAAGAAAGATAGGCATACGAAATCTGAGCAAAGGATGATTATTTCAGTTGGTCCAACTGATTTTAACTTATATTGGGGAACTATCTTGCTTGTTGCTAGTGGTGAGCCATACAGGTAATTAAGGATTTTGAGTCAAAAGCAACGTGAGATTATAGTGGAAAATGGAAGGAAAGGAATTACCATAACAAAGGTTCGGATAGCACCATGCACAACGAGATTGGTCATGTTTCCGATTAAGTAAGCAGTGAGGCCAATGTTGAATAGCATGTATACCATATTGAAAATCTTCTCTCCTGTATTCTCTGCGTGCAAGTCTCCATAGCCAACTGTGGTGAGGGTGACGATCGACCAATACATGGAATAGGTGTAGCCCAGCCAGATGCTCCTGTGTTCAAAATCAGGGACTTGAGCTCCAATCCATGTTTTATCTGTTGTTTTATGATGGGTGGCTAACCAGTAGTAGAAACAACCAGCTGAGTGCACCGCAAATAGTGTCACCTGTGATATTTTAGACCAAAACGAGAAAATGTTAAACCTAAGAAATTTCTGCATCCAATTAAGTATAGAATGTTTAAAGTAGTGACATTTCGAAATAATACTTACACATATAAGTTTGCAGAATCTGGTCGAAAAGTAGCTGAAACGTGGGTCTTTCTCTAGCCTGGATAAAACTAGATCTAGTCAGTTGAGAAATACTCTCTGGCCTTGTTATTAATTTATTGCACTATTGCAAGAACACTTATGTGCATATGTACGTGTTTTCTATCTTCCGCGTCATAGAAAATATTGAGAGGGCTTGGGGTGAGATTTGGGATTATTCTCTACAAAAGATTGAGTGAGCTTTGTTGACATTGATGAGGAAGGTTCTTTGTTCCAGATTGGCAAATTTATTGACCATATTGAATTGTGGAGAAAAAATAGATCAGTACTTTGCATTCAACTAACGATATTCTATTTGTAGGTCTCTAGTTCTGTGTTTGTGAGTGTGAGAGGTGAAAAGAAAGGCAAAACTGAAACTGATTTTTGTGCAAAAATTTTAGTAGTAACAAAATACGTAGGTCAGAAAATTGAGATTTTTTTGTTTAGCTGATGATTATCCAAAATACAATGATAAAATTATTAGCTAGGGAATTCAAGTGCAGTGGTATGAACATCTATTTATGAGGGATTATACCATGATAGGGCTGTAACTTGGTCTCGCTATTCATGAATGCTTTTGCTCAGTTTATTACAAGTTTATATGAGTTGAGCTTGAGCATGAGGAATGAGCTTGTTTATTAAACTATGGCTACATGTCTAATAACATCTTCTAACAGTTCAATTGTGAGTTTTACCGCCATCTAATTTATTACCAAGAATTCTGTGTACCCCGAATAAAATTGATATTATCATTTCGAAATTTTGGCTTGTGTATCCTAACATGATTACTCTTTGGAGCTGATAGATTTTGAGTTAATTGGAGCTGGAGTCTTCTGTATTTGTTGGTAAAGTTTGAAATTAGACAGGGTTGTAATACTAGCACCTTAATCATCTGCTGGACAATGCAATATGAAAAGCGTTACACTTCAATTCTGGAATTCTTATTTCAGTGATCTGAAAATTTCTTCTTGTAATTTCTTTTCTGTTTTATTCTACATGAGGGGAACTGAGAACTGCAATTTATTAGAAATGGTTTTATGTTAATCCTATTCTTTAGTTTCAGAAGAAACTTACATTTTAATTAATTTATCTAAAGATTCTAAACAGGCCTACTCCATTTGTACCATGTTCTGAGATCACCATATATTCATTCTCCCAGAGCCGGGAATGGATGATATTGAAATAATTGAAAACAGATTGTCCTAGCCAATAGGTTGGAGCAGCCAAGGGCTCATTATGCAGAGATCTATATAGAGGTGAAAAATTAGCCTTTTCTTTTTATCTTCCGTTTTAATGCCATTTGTGTATATATTTAAGTGTGCATTTTTTTTTCAGCAAAAAATTATTTATCATCATTTATTTAAGAATAAATTAGCTCTAGTTTTTGACTTGGAAATTTTTTTTTTTCTTTGTTCAGTTTTGACTTATGAGTGTCTAATATTTATGTCTTTAGTTTATTCAGCTCCGATATATGCTGGATTATGACAAATTGACGAACTTTTGCAAGGAATGGGTTTACTTTCATCAAAATTTGTTTCTCTGTTACTATGCTATTAACTCAGCAACTAAACGGTTCTTTGAGCTCTATTCTAATTGCTATCATGATAGACTTGTAAAGTTGAGAGTTTTAGCTAGTATAGTGTTGCTGGATCAATTTTTGGACTGGCGTCATTGCAGCATTATCAGCATATGAACATGTATTATATTCAGTGACGTCTATACTGCATGCTAGAGTATATATACTGCAGATGTGTATGGTCCTTCAATTTTTTGGTTGACAAGGGGGTGGTATTACCAACCTTTAGGTGGAGCTAATTTCCTACAAACACATATATTAACCTGTGTGCTAGGTAGGTCAGTAAACCGTGTGCTACAGGGTTTTGGATTATTCATATAGGGTTAGGGTCGGGTTTGGAAAGAGACTAAAAAATCCGTTCTTCCCGGAATCTGTCCCGATTGATATATATATATATATTTTTCCCTGGATGAATCTGCCCCGATTGATAATTAATTAGAGCTTTTTTCTTTTCACTCCTTTCACGATAATTTTGAATTTCAACTACACTTCTGTTATTATAATCGTTCAGCATGTGTTTATATTTTGTGTCCCCTATAAAAAATTTCTAAAATTTGTTTTAAGATTGAATTGTTTTTCTTAAAATATATGTATATCGAGACAGATTCGTGAAGTGTTTTTATTTGTGGGATGGTTTGGGATAGTGGTGCCTCCTCCGGTTGACATCCCGGGGAAGGGAGGGGTATTTCCACCCTTCAGGTGGGACTAATCCCTCCGAGCACCGTCTCAACCTGTGAGACTGGCTTGGAGGGGAAGAGATGAGTTGAACTTGGAGTTGGGACATCCTCCTTTGGGTAATTGCTCTACCCTTGGGGTTATAGGTATATGGTATTGACCTTAACAATTTGTAGGACACTGGTACATAGATGTCAAACTCGAAATGGAATGTTGAATTTACCTTTTGAAGAGTTCACTAACACGCCTGAGTCGCCACAGCCGGAGCAAGTTGAGAAAGCCAAAAACCTCTCCACGCTGTGTTTTCCCGGTGAGGACCCGGGATATGGTCTGGATTGGCAGTGTTGAGGCTATGTCCATCGGGAACCATGGCCTAGTGATGTACCTGAAAAACAAGTAACATTCATATTATATACATAGAACTGGTGAGATTTAAATGCATACGTATACACTCACATACATATTTATATATATATATATATACCTCAATGCTATCTTGTTGTGGTCATCTACGAGGAGATAGGTTGATTTATCCAAATAAGCGACGAAGAAGGTAATAACAATATCCACGGCAAAGAAGGCATCAACAACCAAATCGACTGGCATGAGTGACCCAGTTGCTACCTTCTTAAATGCTAGCTCAAAAGGCGATGACCATGCTGAATATACCACTAGTATTACTAGAAATGTTTGCCACCACCTGCATCACCAATTTTGTGTCAGATCAACTAAAGGTGATGGACTGATGGTAAACATCAAAATAAATACACACACACACACACACATATATATATATATAAAGTGAAAAATTAGGTGATTTTCCCTTAATTTCGAAGTAAAATATCTTTCTTGAAAAATATTTCCTGTATTATTTTTATTTTTATTTGTTTCATAACGAAAGTACAAGTTAATTTTTTTTTTTTGGGTTAGTTTTTAGTAAATTATTAGCAAGAAACTCAAACATATCACCCACACACCTCATTTTGTTCATCTGGAGACTTGAACTTTCACAATTTATTTTGGAAGGTAGAGGAGATTCTACTGGACCACAAGGCCCTTGGTATATCAATTAGTTTGGTATTACTTGGGTACATATATATACAATACAATTAATGAAATTAAATATTTCTGTTGTATTTTTTGTTTGTTGCGCCCCTATGTAGCACGAACACGGGATATGGACACGATACGACATAGTTGACACGTCAAATTTTTAAAAAGTAGGACACGGGTACGGTGTGGATGGCTACATATAAATATAAATATAATTTTTATTTATATAATATTATAAAATTTTAATTCATTTGTAATTTCTTTTGTAAGAGTTGCTCTGAAATGAATTAGAAAATAAGAGTATGTCATTATTTTAAAAAAATTTATATCATATATACCATTATTTTATTACTTTGTCATAATAGTATTCATATTATTTTCAAGATTATTGGGTAGTAGGGACGGATCTAGAAATTCATATGAGGGGATACAAATTTATATAGAGGAGTTTTTTCATAATTTCAAAGGAGACAATTTCAAAATTTTATGGGTATAAATGCAAAAAAAATATAAATTTAGGGATAAAAATATAATAATAAAAAATTTTAGTGGGGGCGGATGCCCCCACTGAGCCCTACATAGATCCGAGCCTGCTGAGTAGGCTTGTGTTAGAAAGTGTCGGCGAAGTGTTTGAAATAATAAAATTAAATTTTATTTATGAACACGGATATAAAATGTCGAAGACATATCCGAGGAGTGGAAAGTGTCCGTGTCCAACACGGGTAGACTCATTTGTAGAAATACCCGTGCTTTCTAATTGTGCACTGATAGTCGGTTGCAATATTACTATTTTTTTATATATTACTATTACATAGTCAACTTAACTAGCACTTTTAAATTTACTGTTATATTTTTATTATATTGTTTTGGGGGAAAAGTAGCGCAACATCATAAAGTCGGATTTGGTAACTAAGAGGCAAAATCAAAGTCGTGCACTGGACTTGTTTAATGTGAGTGGCGTGGACTAACTATTTATATTTATAATATATTATTTATATAAACATATTTGAAGAAAAATATGTTTGTAAAATAAAAATGGCACTCTTTCTCTCATATGAAATCAAAAGAAGAGTTTTGCACTAATATACAATTCTCGGCTAACTCTATTTGATGTTAAATTACCAAAAAAATTTGAATAGTAGACAACGTCTTTCAATAAAATGGCCTTTTCAAAACCCCAAAGGGTCATTGAATGGTCATATGACCATGTAAATTCAAGGATGAGAAAATTATAAACAGATGTTATTATTTTGATTAATTAAAAATTATTTTTATACAAAACAAATCGGAGAAAATATTGGGTACCCGCTAGAATGGGACAGCAAATAGAATTATCAAAAAGCAAAGGAACTCAATGTCTCCAAATCATACAAACAAAAATAAAATCCCAAAAAAAGTTAACAAGAATGTAACACTAGTTAATTAATTGAGACAAATAATAATCTAGTGTTCTTCATTTTTGTCATATGCTATGTAGAACTTTTATATAAGAAAAAGAGGAATAAATATTGAAGAGAAAAAAGAAAAAGAAAAAGAAAAATAAATCACCTGTATCTACGATCATATGGCGCGATAACATATTTTCTTAGTTGCAGAGATCCATCTTCCACAACTGTTCCAAAAGCTGGCAAGAGGCTGCTTGAAACTGTTGCTAAATTATTGATTTCATGGCTTGAACGCCTTCGGTACAACAACGGCAACGGTGACCTGGTCTCCGATGACATTGTGTGTGTTTGTGTGTGTGTGAGAGAGAGAGTGTGTGTGTTCTTGCTTATATTGATGTTTGAGCTCATATTAGAATAATATAGGGAAAGTGATACAGAGGTTTCATAATTAATGTCATGTAGTTAAGTATAATAATATTTAATAAAAAGATAATGTAATTAATTTTATTAGGCATGACTGATTATGAATAAAAACAAATTACTATGAGCAAACCATATTCTTAACAGTCCGATTGGTGGACAGTTGACTATCATTTGTGTATTTTGACGGTTCAGATTGAATGTGCAGATTTAATGCACGTACGTCATTAGTTTTATGCTAGTAGACTTTAATTAATTCCTTGAGGTTGAAGAAATGTCGAGTAAACAATGTTTTTAAACACTACGTGTATATAAATCCACTAGAGTTGAAATTAACGACCATATTATATTATTTGTATAAATAATTCTCTCTCTCTCTCTATTATTGAGACTGTAAGGTCTAATGGTTCTTTGTGTTAATCGTTAATTTAATTGTTCTTTTCATTTTTTTTTAATTGTCTCAAAGTTCATGTTCTACTTAAAAAAACTAAAAGAAAATTATTGCATATTTTTAAAAATATGTTTTTTGAAAACTTTCTCAACTTGATAATATAAACATATAAACTTCAAAGGTAATTTAGGATTTCTAAGAGGCACCCTCTTAAAAATTTGGAATTCTATAATAGGACAATTAAATCGAGACAAAAATAGTATTCAATTAGCTAATTTAAATTCTACTATGAAGATAAAAAATAAATGAAAAACATCAAGACACGCTCGTTAATTTCTCGATTCAAGTGATGACCCATTGATAGTGCAAAATTTAATACCTTAGAGGATGTGACCCATTGATAATGCAAAATTTAAAATCAGAATTAAAAATGTAGATCATTAACTTTTGCACTGAAAATTATTGAGTGCCTCAAAAGTACTCAGATAAGAAAATAATCAACAACATATTCACCTTCTAGGGAAAGTGGGCATTATATTATAAGTACCTTTGGAGTACCCAATAATTTTTACAGTTATAATTCATCTCTTCAATTTTACAAAATGAAATGATGAGGATTGTCTCTGGTTGCACGAGAGAGAGAGAGAGAGAGAGAGAGAAACATCACAAAGATGATGAAGAAGAAATTGTTATAATTTTTTTACTCACAGTTATGGTTGTCTTCATAATGGCAGTGTATTGGCCGCATTAGAAGAACCAAACTCTCGAACACCAAACTCCGAAACACTTCCTCAAGTCAATTAAAACTCCGGGGGCAACCCTCAAGTATAATTATAACTCTAGAAAGCTCTTTTAGATTAACTAAAACTTCGAGGAGAAACCCTCAAATCCAAAACGTACTTTAAGACACTTTCTTAGGTTTACTAAAACTTTGAAGGGTAACTCTCGAATCCAAAATCACGAAGAACACTCCTAAATTCACTAAATCTTGAAGGGCAACTATGGAGTCCAAAACCTTGGGACATTCAAATTCACTAAAACCTCGAGGGACATTTATCGGGTTCAAAACCCTAGGATACTCACCCGTAGGCACGTACCTAGCATAGGACCAGTGGGGGCGGATGCCCCCACTAAATTTTTCATATTTTCATTTTAGACCTTAATTTTTTTAGAATTTATGAAGATGCCTCCACTAAAATTACAATTCGACCCAACTAAATTCTTTTTTATTTTATTTATATTTTATACTTTAAGTTTTTAAAAATTTATGAAGATACTCCCACTAAAATTACAATTTGCCCTATTGATTTTTTTTTTTTTTCACATTTTATACTTTAAATTTTTAAAAATTTATAAAGAAAATTTCATTGAAATTACAAAAATGGACCAATTATATAATTTTGCCTCACAAATTAAAAGGACGCCCCCTCACAAAATTTTTTGAGTCTGTCTTTTCTAAGTCTGTCACTGCTCACCCATATCTATGAGTCTAAAATCTTAGAACATGGTGTACTAAACTCAATCGACAATGTTCGAGTCCAAAACCTCGGGATACTGACCCATATCTATTAAAACCTCGAATGGTGGCCCTCGGGTCCAAAACAATCTCTCGGGTTTGCTAAAACCTCAAAGGGTATATAACTCTTAAGTCAGACTCAGAAGGCAGGCTAAAGGGTATGCACTATGCAACGATATGTTTGCTACTAATGATCCATGTATTTAGTTGACAATAGTAATCTGAATTATTGCCCACCCCACTAGTAATGTACTATTACAGCATCAGAGAGAATATATATATATATATATATATACACACACACACACACACACACACACACACACTCTCATAGACATATATAGAGGGGCTGAGTTTTTATTAGTAAATGGTTTGACGCCTGAAGTAGTTCCATTATGCATGATGTTTCGGTGTTGACTTTTTCATATGTGGTCCTCGATTATTGGTGAAAATTAACACAATAATATACAAGAAATTTTCCACTCAACGGGTTATCAGTTGACTTTCTTGTTTGTCCTTTAAAATAATAATAATAATAATAATGGGTCCAATAAAGGAAAAAAATAACTCTTACGTCGTAGTGCATATACTATTATTTTAAACCATAGAAAATACCGTATACATTTAGAAATAATTCCTTTCATCAAATATTATTTTTTTTTTTTTGCAAAATATTAAATAATTCATTTCACCAATTTTTATTTTATAAGATACAAAGGCAAGAAGTTTACTCTCTCAGCTAATTTAAAACATGATGGCACGGCAATTAATGGATTATTTGGTGAAACAAATTTGTAAATTTATAAATGTTTCAATATCTCATATAAGAAATACTGATTTTTATCAGAAGATAAAAGTATTTTTACAAAGCTTGACTTTTAACTTTATTTATAAAGAGTAATGACCGTTATATTTATGTGAGTAGGAGATAACATTATAATCATATCATCATATTTAATTACGATTATGTTATCTCAACTTGAATAAATTAGTCCACTTTCATACTATTTATTTTTATTTATTTGCAAAAAGTGATTGCTTTAGGATTTGACACCGTGTACAGTGTATCAGAAATTAAATCATTTTATGTTGGAAAAAAAAAAAAATTTGTCATAACTTCTTGTGTTCATAATTCGGAATTATACTAAAATAGAAAATTTCAAATTTTGGTTGAATTCAGAAAATTTCAACTATAATTTGGAGGAAATTTGGTAATATAGAAATTTGGTAGATACTATCATTAAACAAAATGAGAATATTACAACATCTGATAGTCTGAATATATTTAGCATCTTGTCATGTAATACATTTGCAGATCATATTCCCCCTAGCAGCATATTATTACAATTGCTATATTGTATTCATCGCAGTATCGGTCACGATATCGATCATAGTCGCGGTGTAACGGACTCGAACAAAGTTAGTGCAAACTGCCCGATATACATCGCGTATTGGATTTGAAAAAAGATCGCGTATCGGACAATACGATTATTTGTATTGTACTCTAATGATACAATTATTTTTTGTTTAATACTTCATCAATCTCTAGATACAATGCCTAAAAGGCATGCAAAAGCAGGAATTCTAGGATAAGCTGTTGCGGGGTTTATGACCATGCTTTTCTAGCAACACGAGATGAAACAACAATACACTGTGTGATCTTTAAGGAGATTCTAAACATTTAGACCTCATGCACCAAATTATCTCTTGCACAATTTTCACTCAAGGACTTCAATCCATGATTTATGGCATAGTTGTGTTTCCCAAAATATATATATATATATATATATAAATAAATAAAATTTAATAAATTAGTACACTTGGCCCCCCTGGAATTTGATGATTATAATTTTCTAATTAACATATGTCTGCACACATGATGAAAGCCTTGTTTTTCTCACTGCGACTTCAACAAATGGATTTCCTCTTCAGGCAATATATGTATGTATGTATATCTAAGTCTCAATACGAAGCCCTATTTTTGTACCCAGCACCAGTTCACCACAATGTCTTCTTGTTTTTCTTGACCCTCCCTGCACTAATTGAAACCTCTCCAGAAAACAGAGCACCAGATTATTGATGAAGAAGAAGAACGAGACGACGTCGTTCTGGTTCCACCCACCAATTTCTCCACAGTAATGCTTTATTTAGCCATTTCCTTCCTTGTTTCTTTCTTGTTAGTACTTCTAATTTTTCAACAGTGTGCTTGATTTGGTTCATATGACTGGTTATATTTAATTATTTATTTTGTCATTTATATTTTTGTCAATTATTTACAGACAATAAAATATATCAGGCTATATACTTGACGAAGATTTTTAATTTTATTATTGGCTATATAATTTTTAAATAAGAAAAACAGGAATATATGAATTATATGTGGGTATTTTTATTACCATGTTAACAATTGAATCACTTGGAATGCTGATAATGCATAATGGAATGTGACTAATTTGTTCACTTCTATATCTCAATGATATTCCGATGTTTATAATTTTTTACATCTCAGGAGCAGAATATTAAGAGGGAAACTATCACGGAGGCTCTGAAAATCTTAATTGGTACACTTTATAGTACTTTTTGTAATTGGAATTTTGATAACACACTTTTTTCTTTTGAAACTTTTCTTTTCATATTTTTTCTAAAATTTACTTGAAATCAGTCATTTTAGACACTGCACAGGTGTACTACTCCATGAGACCCCTCGCTACCTGTGCCACCTATGTTTTTCCTACTCTATCAACCCATAAACTATCTCTACCCATCAAAATGCACAGGTGTACTACTCCATGAGACCCCTCGCTACCTGTGCCACCTATGTTTTTCCTACTCTATCAACCCATAAACTATCTCTACCCATCAAAAACATCACGAGACTACATTTTTCTCAATTTTACAAGTTTCAACTCATACTATGTCCTAAACTCAGCTCCTTGTTGAACACAGATTACAATTGCTCGGAACCTAACACTTCGTTTAACAATAATTTCAAAACTCTAAAATAAAAACCTAAGAAACTAAGAATTTGAGACACAATTCCCTACTACAATGATATGGTAAGTCCAATCAAGATTCAGGGTGGAGTTGGTAAAAGGTGAAATCTACCGCCCCTAAAATTTAAAGTCTTGTAATATAGATGAAATCTATCGGCCTAATCCACACACACAATTAGAAAGTATGTGCAATGAAATTGCCAAATAAACTGCACCAGTTTCAAAAGAAATGCTACTTGATTAATGGGTATTGAGGTTGCTAATGGCATCTTGTAAGGGTTTGTATCCTCTCTTCTGAATTTGTCATCAAACATTAATCCGACGATACACATTTTGTTTTTCCGAAAGGTATCAGACGATGCACGTGATATCACAATCACCATCCACGATACACATGATATCACAATCATTATCAATTGGTATCGTTTGCACACTGAATCCATGCTTAGAATCCAGATTTGTACAAAAAGCTGTTATTAAAACCACAATATGTTAAAAAAGCAAGACTCTTATTGTAAACCACCAATCCGACTACTCTCTCATATCAGCTGAAATTCAACAATTGAAACAAATCGTGAAAAGGAGAGGTTTTGTTGGTTTTCACACATTTTTATCCTCATTTTTTTTTTTTTCAATTCTTCGTCGTGCATCAATCTTTTCCTTTTTGGCAACAGAGGGTTTCTCAGCCACCATTGGGGGAAGGACTAAACCCTCTGGATATTTACAATCCGTCCCTTCGGTTCTAAGACATTCTTAAGACGTAGTTTGATCATTTCAAAAACTGTCAAACTAAATGCCAAAATTCACGAAATTTCTATATAAGTGGAGACAAATATCCGTGGTTTGTCCTTAGCCTGTAACAACACCATGTAAATATAAGAAGTTCCAAATGCGATATCCAGTCCAAAGAACCGAATCCAGAGAGGGTCTGCGAACCTCATTCGGATTCCCAGTTTTCAGAATGACAGCAACTTTAAAAAAACTTCAAGGTAGATATTTCCATCACCTCTCCAACATATATGCACAGATAATTAGCTTCCAATCCTGTATTTCATTAACACATGGAAGCATATAGATGTTGATTGTCATTTTGTAAACAGAAATGTATATGTGTGCATATGTATATGTTGTCGTTCAGTAACAACTCTTCATCTCATCAGAAAACCTGTTAATGGTGGCATCCTTCCATCCATGCCTCATTTCACAGGGAAACTCAAAGAACCTCTATTTCATTAGGTTGTAAGAAATGCCTATTAATGGATTGTAGGATACTCAAATTATATGTAGTATGTTCCTCCATTGAGGTCCATCTAAAGTCATGATAATAAATTCAAATTTTTTAAAAAAAACCCACAACGAAATGTGGATCAACAATGTGAAACTAATGAGCAGTATATATAATCGTTCTAGCAAAACATTTCTTTTATGACACAAATTGATATTGTCTATCAAGATGCTGTAAATAGCTTTGCCCTATTAGAATGTTCACTGTCCATTGTAAATAAGTTGTCCTGACACTCCAATCACTTTTTTCAATATGTTCTCTTCTAATTTTCACATCTTGCATTCATAGATAATTTCCTTCTTGAATCAGTTTACATGTTCCACATCACATCCTTCAATTTACAATTCTTGGAAACCTATGGAGGACCCCAAGGATTCTTGTAATTTACAATACCAACAATTTACCAGATTAGTTCAGGGAAAGTGCATGACAATCCTTTCATGGGAAGCAAGTGCAATTTAACATTTCAATCAAGCATATTTTGAAGATCGTAAACATATCATATTATCAAGCCAGGTATCCAGGACAATATAGGTCCATCCAACCAAGGGCGCGACACATTTAACTTTTTATGTACCAAGCGACTATTCTAAAACTCCAATTCACATTCTCATGCTGCTTTTACCATTGTACCAGAAGTAAATTTTATTAACAGTATATATCTCTCTCTCTCTTGAGCGCACAGATATTTACATGTTTGTTCTTCAATATTTACAACGGCAAATACAAAGGTTAAAAAAATCAATTTAAACTGGAAATAACTCACAAATGATCTTGTAGTACAGCCTCTGAGCAATGATCTACATGTACTGAGCCAACCACTGTTTGCACATATCAAGCACAGGAAGCGCATTTGCATGCAATGCCTGCAACAACAAAAAAGGAAAAAAAAAAAAAGGAAAATAAAAGAAAATAAATAGCATTTCCCTTGTGTAAAAACTAACTAATAATTGGAATGGTACAATTCAATGGAAAGAAGATTTTCCCAATCACACTTGAGAAAACTCTTAAGAACAAGTTTAAAAAGAATAGATTACTGGCTAATCCTTTATTCTGGATCTTTGGCCGAAAAAAAAAAAAAAAATACAGGAGTTTAGACAAATTTCTGAAATGCTTATGGAGCAGTGCTGGGAATTCATCCCATTTAGTTAACAACATTATTGACCCTCTGTGCTAGACATTGGTAAATGATGGTTGACTATTGTTCAAGCAAATTCTTATTCCCTAGCTACTCTATCTGGGGCAGTCAATGGATCAGATGATTAAAATTTGATCCGGCAGTCCAAATCTGATAAAAAAGACCAATCCAATTAAGTATGAATTTGTATAATCTGATAACTAATAAATTGGCCAAGTATTTAGGTTGACTCAGTCAGAAAATTATACGACCCTAATTATAAAAAATGAAGAAGAAATTTCACTGATATTCTTAAGGTTTGCTAAGACTACACCGCCCTCTTCCGTGAGTTAAATAATAACATTGACATCCCCTGTCAAACCTAATAGCGTTGACCGCCAATCAACACAGATAGGGTTGAGTCAAAATGAGAGCTATGTGAAATTCCATTTGTACCTTCGAAATGAGTAAGACAATTATGTTCTCATTCATTGGTTCCAAAATTACAATGGTAGCCTCTTTATGAAGCATTTTTTTTCGACAACATGACACATTACACATCTTCCATTTTTCTCACATTGTCCACAAAGGCCAACTTCAATCTCTCTCTACCATGAATAATTCATATATATATGTATATATGTATATGTATATGTGCACACACACACACACACACACACACACATATATGTATAAATACATAAACTTACAAATACATTTAGTTATATATACTTAACATATATGTATATCATGTATATATATGCACACACATGTAGAGGAAGTGAATAAAATAGGCTTTAATCATGTGTGAATGAAATTTGCTTTAGCAATTCATGCGCTGAGGGAAATGAGTAAAACGACTTGGGAAAAGAAGGTGAAGGTTTACGAGAAGTGGGGTCTGGTCTGAAGACAAGATTCTTGTGGCTTTTGGTTTTGGGAAGCATCTTGCTGTATGGTGGCATCAGGCGCTCTCTTTCCTCTCTCTCATCTCCATTGCCCTATGAAGAATGTGAGATTTAGGGTTTTGAAAATTTGGCTTTAGGTTGACTTGAATCTGGGTTTCAGTGAGACTTGAGATCACCTCTCTCCCCCTTTACTATGATGGGGCATGAGATATGGGTTTTGGTTAGCTCAAATTATGGGTTAACTTGAAGAATGTGAGATTTCAATCATGGGGTGGAAGCAAATACCAATGATAGGTATTAGTGGCAACAGTGGTTGCAGATGGAAGTGGTGCAACGGCAATCAATGGTGTCGATGATGGTGGTAGCAGTGGCCTTGACAGTTGGTTGAGGTCACGGACAATTCCATGTAGGGCTGATTGGGGGTGTCTGCCCCTACTGATTTTTTTTATTTACTTACATTATATATCTAAACAGTTTCTAAATTATAGTAATGCCCCCTCTAATTTTTTGGTAAAAACTTCACAATATCTATTCATCTACTTTTGAATTCTACTTGACAAATAACTCTCTAAATTCTATTTCATTCTTTCTATATCGCATCGATTTTACAAATGATTTTGGAACCAGAGAATTAGAGAGAGATAGAGAGTTTCATCTTTCTTAATTAGAAGTGTTACATGATTTTTGTTAAAAAATCCTTTAATTTGGATTTCTTTTAATATGTTAGCTTGATTTTAAAATCTTAATTAGATTCTTTCAGTGTTATAAAATTATACTATTTCCCCTTTTTATACTCACCATTAATGCCGTGCAACAAACTTCTCTAAGAGGGGATATCAGTGTTATTTTTTAAAATATGGAGGACGCCAATGTAATTTTGATATACTCAAGGAAGGTCAGTGTAATTTACCAATTAAAAAATTGTGTAAAATACAAAGCCTGTAAAATATTGTGCAAAATAAAAACTCTAATAATGAAATTTGCTCATATACATATATATTTCAATTTTGTGTATCATTTGAGCCGAATTATTGTTGTAAAATTTGAATTAGATTCTTTCACTGTAATAAAATTAAACTATTTCCCCATTTTATGCTTATTTTATTTTCTCATTGGATCAAAGTTTTGATTACTAACAAATCTGGATTCAGATTGACAATATAGTGATCCTTATCCGGTAAATAATTTCCTTATTGGCTTGGCTCTGGATCTCCCGTGAACCAGCCCAATTCCAATCTGTTTACTAGCCTTTTTCCTAGAAAATCCCAACCATACTTTGTGCCCAGGTTCAACAGCCTAAGATTGGCCTTAAAATGTGAAAAATAAGTAAAAATGCAAAATTAACACTAGATAAACATAACTGTATATATCATCCTAAAAATACACCTGCTCATATATAATAACCCAAACAGGTTTGATTTTTCAATGCCTGAACTTGGTCAAGTGAATAGACAAGATACTATTTGGGTACACTGGAAGGTACAAATGGAATTTCACTCGATACAATTTACCTGTTCAGATCCTATTTACCTCCTTATTTTGGGACTAATTATGAGTATCAATTTTCGAGTTGCAGGCTCATCATGAAAACACAAATAAACTAATTCCACCAAAACTTTTCGCTAACAAGTCGTCATTCAGAGGTCAGTAAATTGAGAATAAAAGGCTGTTGGATTCCTACATTAAGAATTTATTTGAGAGGAAGAAGACCTGATGTGCAACATATTGAACGTCAGCCACACTTCCAATTCGAGAAGCAAATTGAAATGCTCTTTTAAGACGACCACACACCACACAGGCCAACACCTTCCTGTAAAAGATTGACACAAATGCTGTCAATGATAACATCCCATAAATATTGAGAACAAATTTAAATGCTTAACAACGCCACATGCCAAGTGAAGTTGGTGCCTCAAAATTACAGGGAGAGGCCACGAAACTATTAGAGCATTACTCCACATTTCTAGTTTCCCTTTATTCTTGCTCTTCACGGTGGAGCGAAGACAATGATAGCTCTCATCCTGCCAACTATTACAAATAAATTGGCAAGCTCTTTGAAAGGGCTTTGTTAGGTCAGTAGGACTTAAGGTTCGCAAATTTCGTAGATCAAAACTAGAGTCTGTAACTAGGTCAAAGAAGGAAATATTTCTAATACACTAATTAAATTGGTAAAAATTGGGTGCAAACCTAAAAATAATATCAATAATAGCGTTGAATTATGCTTTTATGGAACTTACCCAAAAACAAACAACAGTGTTTCATCTTTAAAATTGAAAGTATCCAGGGCTGATTACCAATAAGATATTGAAGCAATGATTCTCAAATTTGTTTCAAAACTTTGAAAGGACATATAGTGTGGAATGGTGAAATTACCTGTGGGGACTAATTAACATGTCTATGAGCCGGTCTGGGCGCTCTTTGTGTTTGTTAGCATACACATTTATTGCAGCGCCTAACACCTACAAGAAGCAACAAAACATGAGAATGTTCAAAAAGCAAGCTTACTGTAAGAGTATTAATAATATTTCAGAACTTGCACTGAGTGAAGCCCAGTGATGGAATGAAGCAGGAGAGATTTTAGTATTTACATTTTTGTTGGTCTAGCAGACATCAAAGAGTAGGGATATGTATCATTTGGCTTCAGTAAATTCTTAAATTTACGTCATATTCCAAAAAAGCTTATTGGTTTGAAACTCAACATAATTGTAACAATCCTATGAATAGAAGTACAACGTCTAGGGATGTGATGTAACAATTTTCAGTGCACATGATTGTATTCTTTCAAATGCTTTAGTAGTCTAAACACCTGCAACAATAATTGTACTAATCCTATAAACAGAAATACAACGTCTAGGGATGTGATGTAACAGCTTTACACTTTTTCAGTGCACATGATTGTATTCTTTCAATTGCTTTAGTAGCCTAAAAACCTGCATAGTTGTATCTCTGACACACCTTACAATTTCCAAAACCTTAAAGATGCTATACTTATCCAAAAAAAAAAACTTAAAGATGCTTTGAGCCAACTGATAAAAGCTATAGGCAGGACACTATAAATTGTGCTTTTATTTTTGCATTTTTTGTAACTAAGACGATTTTTTAAGCACAAAATCAGAATGGCAATACCTCATCCCAATCCTCATCCTCAATTGTGCCTTTAATGTTTTTGAAAAATTCTGTCAATTGACCACCCTTTTTCCTCTCAGCAAGTGATGCCGCAACACCGGCATATATATCAACAGCTGTAAAATGATTCAAGATTTTGGAATGTAAATTCCACAAACACAAATTCTAAAGCTCACTTTCTATGTGATAGAAATACAAAAGATTAAATAGATAAGTCATAACACAATGTTTACCAGGAAGATTGAACTGATAGATCACTTGGAAAGCCAAGTCAAAGTTCTTCTCAGCAAGAGTCTCTGCAATTTCACACCTTCTCCTGCATCACAAAACACATTTAAGCATTTTCTGTATCATCACTTCTCACTTTCTTCAGTGTATATGATAAAAATAAGATCAATCAAGTATCAAGTAGCTGGCAAGGCCTCAACTTGCATGAAATACTACAACCTGCACGTTTAGCGGATGGGACTTAAGGTAAAGAACCCTAGGATTTTTTAACAATGAAGCACAACTACTTGAGTACAAGAGAACTTGAACTTGACCTCTTAGAGGAACAAAAACAGACAATAGCTGAGAGTTGATTGGCAAATGGTCCAGTCTACTAATTAGTAAAACTAAGTCAATTGAAAAAAGAGTAAGAGGACAATAAAAACGAAAAAAATAACTGCTGTTAACTGTGCATAAGTTATTTAATTAGCAAGTTCTCGGAAAAGTAGTTATAAAGCTTCTGCAATCCATATTAGGGAAGACGTTCATTTCTTGAATTCTTATTTGGTCATGAGAGGCTGTGCAGTCCAATAATGGTACCATTATTCCCCTTCTTTCCATCATGTCTATACCATACCATGAGCTGCTTCTATAGTTTCCTGAGCGTTGCCTAAGCAATCCTGAGCATGCATAGCTTGTCAAGTTGTCATATTGTCATGAAGAATATATTATGTTCTATCCTCTATGTTCGTGTTGTGTTGTAAACAACCACCCCCACCCACAACAACAACACACACACAAAAAGGGGGAAAAAAAGAAAAAAAAAAAGGAAAACACCAAAAATAAAAAAGAAAAAAGGAAAGAAAACAGCAGGCACGTAATTCTCATTTTGTTGATTAATATTTCCATGCTCACAAGACTACCTCCCCCAATGGGCGAGGGGTACAAGGCAATTGGGAGAAGGTGGAGGAGAGTTCTCCTAGATAGTTCTTTTCTGATAATGCATATTGTGATACTTAAAGTGAACCATGTGCTTACAAAGAAAAAGAAAAAAACGAGAAAGGATTGCACAAACTTGAATGTTTCAGGGTCGTTTGGATTCCCAAAAAGAGAATGCTTCCATTGTGGTCCATCTGCATCATTAAATGATTTCACAACATCCACCTACAACAAAACAGAATATTAATTGAAAAAAACTCACGCGCCACTTGGTATATATGAAAAGATTCCTTTTTTAAGGTCAATGGAAACAGAGTAGGTTCTTCGAGCAAATAATTTTAAGGGTTAAGATCTGTATCAAGTATTCCAATCTACACTTTTCAGCATCTAGCATTGGATGGACCAATATATAAGAGTTGTTGGTGATTTTTTTCAATCTAGAGAATCAAAAGCAACTCATACAGATAAATGAAGGGATAACAGTTTTTATTTTTTTTTCCCGTCAAACAATGATGCTGATATTATCCAAAAGGAGAAGAATACTTGTTTGGATCCCCTCAGTACTATGCTACAGACTAAAGGTAGGTTAAGGCTTGTTGACATCATGTTTGCAAAGTAGCTACCAGTTTCTATGTTACTTGTAAATTGAATACCTAAAATCAATACTACAGTTTGCAGTTGTGGATGTGGACACAGGGCTGTATCAGTCGTAATGTAATGGAAAGGGGGGTTTGAAGCATTACAAAATATTCGTGCCACAGTCAAATCGAGAAGAAAATTCTACACATAATTGTTTTAAATCTGGCATGTAAGTGGGTCTCGACCTTCGTCGTGGGTCTTGGGCCCTAACATATTGGAAGGAAAAAGAAAATACATTACAAGGATATACAGTAGGATCAATAAAATATGGAGTTGTACAGAGATCCAATGGCTTTATTCCACAAGGACCCACTTTCTAGGGTTTCTTTGGGGATCTGGATCAATGCAGTATTTTTTTATTTAAAAAACTAGAATTTTAGGATCTTGATTGGAATTTTAACAACCATGGATGGATAGTGAAATACTTTTGAGCCTCCAAAATGCTTGAATTGGAATGAAGCGACCAAATTTCAATTCTAACTCCCAATTTTCAAGACCATTTCTACCTCCCAATCAGAGTTAAATGTCATACCAATCCCCTTATGTTCTCCACGGACCTCTTTTTCTACTCTCTTTAAAAGATCTGTCATCCCATTTAGATGGCATTGCAGCTATGCCAAAATTCAACTTTTGCATCCTTTATGATACATACCCCTTCCAAACTCCACCACCTAGTCCTTGGGAGTCCTTTTTCTTCTATTTATTCTCTTCCATCTCCAATGCAAGGATCTAAAAACCATTAATTAGTGTTCTATGATTAAACCCTCTTATAAGGCTAATTTCATTCCTCCCAACCTTCCCAATACACGAAAGCAACAAAGTGAGCACGACTTTGATCCACTTCAAAATTATGTCCCTTTTCTACAAAGTCACTTTTATATTAGTCATTCATCTTTCTATGCCTTAGATTTTTAATTTCAATAGTAAACAGTGTAAATTATTAAAATTATACAAAGACAAGAAGAAGATTGATTGCCTAAAAAAAGAAACAAATAATGCTAGAACAAAACATACAAAAGAAGTATTTGAGGTTGCATTGATAATTATTGGTAACAGCCAACTAGTATAAAAGTCCTTATTAGAAAGAGTGTAACGAACATATTAATTTTGAAGCTAAACTGGGACCTTTCCACCATTCTTATTTATGACAAATATAATAACAAAGAGTCAACTTTTTGTTGACTTTTTAATCCCTTAGAAATAAAGGAGATCAACATCTACACTGAATAAAACCACAAACAGATTTGTTCCTTAGTGAAAGTAGCTGATATTCCTGATTTTTTTTTTTTTTTTTTTTTTTTTTTCCACTTGTTTTAGATTGACACTCGACTCCATAACTCAGGACTACCAAGATACACAATGAACAGAAATGAATTTTCAAAAAGGCCAAAAAATTAGCTGAAATGAGATTCAGTAGGTAGTCGTTATATTTACATGTACGTTAAAATTTTGAGCATAAGACCAATAATCAGCATCAATTTAAGAAGCTCTTAAATCAACGCAACTCCTGCAAAACCAAGTTTTTAAAACACGGTTATGGCCACAGTCTCAGACTCTAATGAGGGTTATGAATTAATATCAGCGGTCGCAATCGCGAAATTTTTTCAACACTAAGAAACATGATAAAAACGAACTAAAAGACAAGATTTAACTCCAGTCAATAAAACCATTTTGCTATAATTTTAATGAATTTTAGTGAATAATAAAAGGAGATTTCATACGAGTAATATATATATGTTTGATAAGTAAAATTGTATAAAACCACTCAAAAGGGAAGCGCATCACAAGCATACTTGTTAAAGGAGCCTCCAGGCGCCATGTTGTCACCTTGATACACGTAAGGCGACTCTCTTAAGCAAGGCATGCGCCTTTCTGACCAAGGCGCCAGGCTACAGATGCTGGAAAGGCACGCCTGCTTTAAAAAGTTATTTTTTACTTCTTTTTTTTTGTTTATTGTTTGCTTGTTTAAAAAGTTCTTTTTGTTTATTAGTATTATTATATCTATTCTGATATTTTATTAGTTAATATAATACAAAAGCCTACAGGTTACATTGTTACAACATTAAAAACAAGAACAAGAGAAGCAAAAAGCAAAGGAAAGAAGAGTAGAAGACAGAGGCAGCGAAGGCACCAAAAAGCGTCGGATCTCTCGGATCTGCGTCGGATCAGGTAAGTTCTCCTTCTTCTCTTCTTCTTCTTCTTTCCTTCTTCTTCTTTCCTTCTTCTCTCCTCCTTCTCTTCTCGGATTTTTTTTTTTTTCGTCTTTTCTTCTTCTTCTTCTTCTCTCGAGTCTCGGCTCTCTTGAGAGTGGAGTCTGGCAGATTTTTTTATTTTTATTTTTCTTCTTCTTTTTATTTTTTTATTTTTATTTTTTCTCAAGTTTTATTCTTCTTTTTATTTTTTTTTTTATTTATTTGAGGGGAGTCTGGCAGATTTTTTTTTTATTTTTCTTCTTCTTATTATTATTTTTATTTATTATTTTTTTTCTCAAGTTTTATTCTTCTTTTTCCTTAAATATCGTTGCAAATGGACATAGCCTGTTAAGTTTCTCATGTCATTTTCAGCGCTTCACGTTACTCCTTTAAATGTTGTCCTGTCCTCAATAATGCCTTCTAGTCATGACTTCAGTTATCATATCAAATGGCCAGAACCTTTGAAGCTTTCCATGTCTTTTTCACTGCTCCAAAGTCAGTCCTTTTAATGCCGTCAAACTTTTTTATTCAGCAATATTGCCTAGTAGTGGCTTACCTGCTTGGATTAGATTAGTACAATGTATTGCTCTCACTATTTTTTTATTTATTTGTGTGATCCTGTTTTATTTATTTGTGTGATCCTATTTTATTTGTGTGAACAGCTGTAGCCTGTATTTGTTCCATTCTAACATGCTATTGGTTTGAGGAAATGCATTTTTATCTAATTTTGTTAAAATGAAATAGTTAGTTAAGTGTACTCTAAATTATAGAAGACAATCTCAAATTGTAAATAGCTCATGTACTGTTAAAATGAAATAATTTTGTTAAAATGAAATAATAACTCATGTATTGTTAATATTATTTTCATATAATTAGGTTCTATTATTGAAAGAATCACTTACCCAAAAATACTTTATTGGGTGGGATTTTTTTTTTTTTTTTCTCAACATGCGCCTTACTTTATTGGAGGCATTTGCGCTTTTGCGCGCCTTGAGCCTTTAACAACTATGATCACAAGAGAACTACACAAGGCCAAATAGGGCCTTTAAACTTTCAAAGAGCCCAAAAAATCGACAATCTCCTCCAATGATCTATTATTTTTCCCTACAACCCAACAAAAAAGAGTGGAAATGATAGAGAACCTAAGCATAGAAATAGGATTCTCCTTTCCTTCGAAAGATCTCTTGTTCCTCTTGAGCCATATACAACACTAGACACACAAATGTGTAACCCTCCAAACATCCCGGACTTGGGCCCCCATTATACATCCTCTCCAAGCCTCAATCAACCCTCTGAAGGATCTGGGCATGACCCAAAGAACTCCAAACATACCAAGCATCAAATCCCAACAATCCCTGGGCTAGGGTGCAGTGCAAAAGGAGGTGATCCACATGACAAATATAGATTGTTCAAATCAAGGAGAAAAAAAAAATCATTGCAAACAATAAGCTAACTCAATGAGTAGTACAAGAAATATAAATATTTGACCAATAGAAAAACTGAAATGTTGTTTAGCAATTAATATTTTTATTAAATATAGTTGCAGAACTTGCAGGTCTTTGTATTTTTATAGTAATGACTTCATAAATTATAGTAATAAATTTAAATAAGAAGAAGAGAAAAAAATTACATATTATATCCATCATTCATAAGTGCAAAAAGAAGATTTTTAAGTAGGAAAAGAAAAAAAGAAAAGAAGAATAAAAAGGAAAGAAAAATGAGAACTTTGAAAGGAAACAAATTAGACTTTGATTGAAGAAGGAAAATTCAACGCTTTTTTTTTTTTAAGGAAATCAAAAGAATTTTAAGAGCAAAAGAAAAATGAAAAAAAAATTTAGGAGATAATTTTAGAAATTTAATATAATTTTTTTTTATTATTATTATTTTGGGGGGGGAGGGGGGATTATATTTTAATACTTGGTAGGGCCAGGGAGCACATGTGCCTGGTGGCACATGCTGGCTCCGCCTTTTTTTATTTAGGGTTAATTTCAGTGATACCCCCTCAGGTTTGGACAAATATAACCTTAAAACATCTTTTGAAAATTATTATAACTTAGGTCCAATTTTGCTTTTCCGTCACTAAAACCGTTAAAAACTTGAAAAAGACAATTTTACCCCTAATTTTTTACTATTTTTTATTTCAAAATATGAGCACCCTAAAATAACTATTTTACCCTCAATGTTGAAACCCCAAAAGTCAAAACTCTTCATCTCTCTCCCCCCCGCTGAAAACATGAGCTTCCTGTATTCATATATACAACAATTATATACATATATATATATATATATATATACACACACACACAGATTTATATATTAAGTAAGTCATAGCCAATTTAAAGAAGAAAAAAAAATGTAAACTAGTGGGAAATTCCCGAAAGGTTAAAAAGAAAAGAAAAAAAAAAACAACAGAGTGGTTACTGTTTGGATGGATCGATGCCCGCAGCCCATCGGGTACTTTTCACTAGATCGGATCGGATCGAGGACGATCTCTTCTGCACTTACATGCGTTGGTGGTGAAGGAGTAGAGGTCGGCGAAGGTGAGAAGCCCGTGAGGCTTCGGCACCTGCTGACTAGTGTACATATATATATACATATATATACACGCGCATGCATATCGTTGATTTGAAGTACGTAATTGTTGAAGATTAGTGTAATAATTCCATGGAAGTAGATGACTCGGTCGGTGAGTGGATTGCGAGTCCGAGCTCGTCTTGTATTTTCTTCTCTTATTCATGTATGCGCATGGGTGGATTTTGGTGGTGGAGTTTGGTGAGAGAAACCAAGGCCAACGATTCTGGAATGAATTTGGAATTCTCAATTATATTTCCATCCCGTCCTCATCTATCCAATTTCACATTTCCAGCAGTTTGAAGACCATATTGATAGATATGTATTAATGGGGTATAGGAATTTGCAATTGTATGTGAGATTTAATAAGGAGTGTTGGCGAGGTTCCAAGACGGATTTTGTAGAAAAAGAAATTAAGTTGAGGTTTTTTTTTTTTTTTCGGGCTCGCTTGTTTTTGTAAGACATCAAAAAATGCTCAAGTTGAGTGTGATAAAGCTCTTCCTGAGCTTTTTTTGGGGTGGATTGCAAAAATTTTTTGCTTGTGTCATCATTTTCATGTACAACGAAATTGCTTCTGAATTATGATAAAGAGATGGTAGGTGCTTGAAAAAAAATTGTAACACACAAATTTTTTTTTCTTCTTTTGTAATATAATTGAACTGATATATATCATTTTAATAGCTTGTCATTGAATTTAGATGTCAAAATAACTTGGGAAATTTGAGATTTCAAAACCCATGCTTCTTGGGGTGTTTTGGATTATATGCAGAAGAGGGAGAAAGGGACATTAGCTCAACATATTTCACCGGTTCAATAGGGCATAAATGTCATTTTATACATTAAAAATCTTTTAATAAGTCAACACAAAGTCAAAAGTGTTCTGACACTCCTGAAAAGTGACGTTTGGGGTGTGAGTGAAAGATGGAACAAACGTTTTTGGTGTGAGTGATAGTAATTTTCAAAAGATGTTTCAAGGTGATATTTGGCCAAACCTGATGGGGTGTCACTGAAATTAACCCTTTTATTTATTTTTTGATAAGTAAGAAATGCATTGAAAGCGCTCAAAAGGGGAACGCATACCAGGGGAACAAACACAAGGCCAAAAAAACAGCCCTCTAAGCCTTCAAAGGGGCCAAGAAAACAACAATATCCTCAGAAGATCTATAATCTCTACCCGTAACCCAACAAAAAAGAGTGTAAAGAATAGAGAACTTAAGAAAAGAAATAGGCCTCTCCTTGCCCTCAAAATATACTTTATTCCTCTCCAGCCAAATGCACCGCCACACACAAAGAGGCGTAGCCCTCCAAGCATCACGAATATGGGCCCCTACGGAGCACCCTCTCCAAGCCTCAACCATCTCTTTAGAGGAACGAGGCATAACCCAATGGATCCCAAACAAAGCATCAAGTCCCAACAGTCCTTGGCCATGGTGCAATGCAAAAGATGATGATTCACCGTCTCTTCATCCCGAAGACACATGTAGCACCGATTGACAACCACCTGATTTCTCCTTCTCAAATTGTCTTGGGTCAAAATCTTACCCAAAACAGAGGTCCAAGCAAAGAAAGCCACAATGAGAGGAGCCTTAGAGCACCAAACAGACTTCCACAGGAAGGACCCTCCAGGCTCAACTGCAAGACACCTGAAGAAGGAACGAACATCAAAGCGACCTTGCGAATTTGGATTTCAAATCCAACAATTAGAGTCTCCAGCCATGACACCCTACCAATACAACACCTCCAACAAAAGAGTTGCATCCTCAACCTCCCAATCCTGAAAAAGACGCCTGAAACGAACATCCCAAACCAGTCTCCCTCTATCAAGATGGTAACAGTCAACCACCTTGGTCTTTCGATCAGTAGCAATCCTGAAGAGCCGAAGGAAAGCAAGAGCAAGAGAAAAATCCCCACACCAAACATCCTCCCAAAGACTGATCCTCCTGCCATACCTAAGTCTGAAACGAACATGAGTGAAAAAATCAGCCCACGCCTTCCGTATACACTTCCAAACCCCCATTCCCCTCGGGCAACGCACCTCAAGAGAGCACCAACCTCCTCTGCCTTCCCCATGTCTACTCGCAACGACCCTCCGCCAAAGTCAATGCCTCTCCAGCCCAAACCTACACAACCATTTCCCAAGGAGAGCTTTATTGAAAGGCACCAATCTACGAAGACCCAACCCACAATTTCGAATCGGCCTGCACACTTGCTCCCACCGAATTAAATGAAACTTAAACTCCTCCCTTCTGCCCCCGCCCCCCCCCCCCCCCCCCCCCCCCCCGGCGGGGGGCCAAAACAGAAAGTTACGTTGCAAACGCTCAATTCTTCCTGCGACAGAGAGGGGAATCTGAAAAAGCGAGATGAAATAAGTAGGAAGGCAAGAAAGGGTACTCTTAATCAGAGTGACCCGCCCCCTTTTAGAAAGATACTGCTTCTTCCACCCCGCCAGTCTCCTCTCAAACCTATCCACAACAGGATCCCAAACCCCAACACAAATCGAATCAAACTGCTCATTTGTGGTTCAGTTCAGTTCCGCTAGTTCTAACGGTTCAATTCGGTTAAGCTACACGTGCACAATGGTATGAGGTACAGGTCCACAATCCCACATCGCCTGGATAAGGGAAAGGTGAAGTGCTTATATATGGTGGTGCTATCTCCAATTGGTATGAGGCCTTTTGGGGTAAAACACAAGAATAAAACCGTGCGAGCTCAGACCCAAAGCGAACAATATCATACTATGTGGTGGATTGGGTCATTACACTAAGGTTCACATTCTATTTAATTTGGTCAAGATTTTGATTTCTATTTTCAGATATTTTTATGTGGACGACCCGGGATTCCCCAAAACTATTCAGAACTATTCTCGAACCGATATCAATCATTAAAAGATATTGAATTTTGTAATCCCAATACCCAATCACTTGGATAATGAGCTCTAGAATGAATTAGGTTAATTTAATAAGATAATGGCAGAGGATGCATTTGAAAGATAGTTTCCTGACAGCTAGTAGCATCAATATGCAAAATTAGAATATGTTTCCGTAATTAAAAATGTCATCCTCATCTAAATTTTTTTGATAAGTCATGCTCATCTAAATTGAAAGAGTCTTAAAGCAGGTACTTCTTGACTATGAACCAACATGCTCAACGGAATAAATTAAAGATGTTCCAGCTTAAAATCAGGAATTTGCAATATCAAGCCATCATAAAAACAAGAATCACATTTCACAAGTCAACAGGTTTTTAAAGAAGTGCAGCTGACACAAAAATGACAAATCAAACTATCATGAAAAGGCTTGATGCCTTTATCACACTATTATGATAGAAAATTTCAAGTATTGAACCTTGAATTCTTCCTGGATTGTTTTTACCTCAAAATTAACAAGTCATCGTGCAATTTTAGTTTCCTAATACTTGGTAACTGTCAATACCTGGATTGCAACCCGAGCAGAAAACTTCACAAGTCCTTCTTCAGTAAGCTTTTCTGAGGCACTTTTTCCTCGAGTTCCCTTGGTAATAAGCTTCATAGAATCTCCTGCTTTGTATCGTGCTGACAATCCTTCATCAAAATGCATCTACACCCAGATGGAAGATAATTAAGGAGAAAAAAGATAGGAAGTAGAATAAGCCAGGAAACTAGCAACTGACATTTAGTATAAAGTTTTGTGAGTATCAGTTTCCTAGGATGGCTGTTTTGTGGTGTTTTTCCGCCACAAATCTATATTCCAACTGTATCAAAAAGCTACCTTTAGGAGTATACTAATTGTTGCATATACCTTTTTTTTTTTTTTTTTTTTTTTTTTTTTTTTTTTTTTTTTTTTGTGATTTTCTATAAAAAGGTAATATGTTGTTAGATGGTAGAGGGGGAATGAAGCTACTTCACATTCTCTTGTTGGCTTGTCAATTTATTGCCGCTCAATTTCATCTACTCCTCTGATTGGGAGTATCACCCCCAGTAAAGTAGCAGAGTGATTTCCTTTAAGGTTCAAAAGGTGAAAGTCCAATAATCATTGGATAGAATGGAACTAAGGTTTGAAATGAAAGAAAAATTACGGAGGTTTTGGAGATTGACTCCTATTATGTCTACAAATATATGAGGATCATTCAGACAGTTTGGGATGAAAAGGTACTAGTTGTGGGGAGCCTGCTTGGGGTGAAATTTGAACTGTTGAACGGTTCACGGGTTCAAAAGGTGGAAGAAAAGATCCAGGGAGCAAGCATAGGAACATTATCTATAAAGCATCCAAAGACCATTGGATAAGTGTTGGGTTCTCTAATGTCTGATGGAGAAATGGTGAGCTGCTGGCATGCACTGTGGAACATGGCCTGAGCCATTGGGGTCACACTGCCACATATGTTCTCAAAACCTTAATATTGCTAGTGGAAAAATAAACGGAAAGAAAAGATTCAACTCTTGATTAAATGTAAATTCAAGAAGAGTTGTGGTACGGTCACATGAATATTGACGTTCCAATCCTTGCAAAAGACACAGACAATTCTGTAGCCATCAATTGAAAATATACGAGCACTGGATATTGCCTGATGTTCAGCACACTTTGTGTTCCTTGGAAATATTAGGCTTTCTCTTAGACTCTAAAGAAGGCTTCTCTCTTCTACAAAGTGATGACCTAATATCTCTCATGTCACAAGATGTTGTCATTAGACCATACTACCATTCCGCTTACATTATTAGGCTAGAATTGCCTCTAAAGTTTGTTATGTCTTTGGTCCTGCAGAGATCGGTAATGGAGTTCCTTTGTTCTTCTGGACAACACGCATGGAATCCTAGAGATCTTCATTTATGCAGGTCTTTTAGTTCCGTGATCTTTTTGGCTTCTTTCGGAGAAAGAGCAAATGAAATTTTAAAACAGGGAATCTCAAAGAAAGTGACTGTAAATTTTCTTAGAAATTAATTAATATTTTGGATTTGTATTCTAAAGGACCATCGGTTCCACGCCTATAAAGTTGCCCACAGTTTTAAGTCTCCTTATACAAAGTTCATATCTATTCTATTATTCTGAGATAAAAGATAATGAAATGAAGCCCATTTTAACGATGCAAAAATGATTTTTTCCTAAAAGGTACGGACTTACCTTGGCATGCTCCAAGTGTTTAATAGCTTCCTCTTGTGAAGAAGAGTTCATAAATAACTGAATACAGCAAAGTCCAGCAGCCACGTGATCTTTCTTGATGACCTGAACCATTAAGTCAGTTTTAAATTAACCAGAAAGAAAATACTGCTTCAATATAATCAAAAGATGGAAGCAAAATAATACAAAATAATCAAGGAAAAGGAAGAGGAAGAAGACAATATTGGTTGATTTTATCATATCTACTTGTAGTCGAGCTGTGATACTTCAGCACAAATTGAATTAAAAGAACATAAAACAATAACAAAACAGAATAAAAATTTTCCACATTATATGTCATCTAAAGAATAATGGAAAGAATTAAAAACACTACATCAAGTTTGGATACATCCTCAGAATAAGGAGGACACTATGACATGTGAAGTGCCCAAACCAGCATCAAACATGTCAAATTGTCGGTCTGTACAACATTGCTAAACAAGTTAAAATATGAGCCTCATTTTTCCGAAGCATCCTTCATACTATACAAGTTATAAACTATGCTATACAAAACTTGATCTAAAGCAACAACGCTTAAAGAATATTACATTAAAATAAAATGTTGAACAGTGTAGAAGTACTGAAAATATATAGTATGATGAAGAATAAAGACTAGCAAGCAAAGGAAACACATATGACAATTAATACATTGATAAAATATAAAGTAAGATGTGTTGAAAATAAATTGTTATCAGAATCTGTACAAAATTTGACAAATCGAGTTTAGCAGTCATTGAATGCTAAATTCTTCTGTACAGATCAAACTTTAACTGCTCTGAGTACAATTCACTGTTTTCTTGAATATTACATGAAAGAGAACAATGAAAAAGTAACTCAACCCAACAAATCCTTGAACCCAACTATTCAAGGCATGCAACAATAATCTTTATTTTCAATTCAGCTCTATCTAAAACCACGTCCTCCATTAGATACTAGAAGTCCTGCTATTTCATCCATGACCCATTTAGTTTCTAGCCTTACTCTTGTTGTTTTGGTATCTTCAACTTGAATAAATCACCTATTTAAATTGATGCATTTATAAATCTTCATTACACATGACCAGACGATCATAAACAACTTTCCTGCATCTTGCCTTAATTGGCAAGTGGCAACATATAGAATTTCATAAATTCATTAGTTTCAAAAAAATCATCATCAAATGTACTAGTAAGTGTCCATGGGGAAAATCATCCACAACTACTTGGGATCGGCTAAATGACGATTGCCTTAGCTAAGGCCATAGCTCCAGACAAACCACATGTGATCTTATATTTCCTTACTAACTATACCCATGTTAGTTTTGGTTGTTCCCTTCCCCTAGCATTACCATCAATGTGGACCTCGCCACTCTTCCTAGCTGGTGCACTCATTGGTTTCTTTGCACATGCCCAAACCATCTTAATCAATTTTCTCTCATTTTATCTCCAATTGATGCTACTTCAACCATCACAACAATGTGTTCATCTCACCAAAAAAAAAAAAAAAACACACACACACACACACGCACGCGCTCTCCACAAACAAAAGACCTAAACCTTCCAGTAGAGAAAATTGTGGAGCCAGATCAGGTATTATCTGTCACAAATATTGTTATCTACATCTATTAATTACATATAATCTCTCATATGAGAATTGAAAGCATGCAAATAAAACATCCTATTGACAATCTTTCACTTTGCACTTTTAGTTCCAAACTGATAAAAGAACAAAAGGAAAAAAAAAAGAAGAAGAAGAGGAGGTTCAAAGTACCTGAAACATATACAGATAATTGAAATGCCTATGAGTTTCGCAATAGATGCAAATTCTTGCAAGTGCCACATCTATATGCTGAATCACTCCTACATCCTGTGGTATTGGTGATGATATTCTTGCTGATATCACTTCCTCCAAAACAGACATTGCCCCATAACCAATGCACAAGTCACACAAATCATCAATTGTCCCATAATCAGTTGCCAGCGGATCTGCTCTTTGTGGGGAAGAAGATGATGTGACTACACCCAGAGACAATGGTTGAAGAGGAGGAGGCACGGCATTAGGAGGAAAGAACAACATGCAAGCATCCTTATAGTGGCCATGCCTGAACATAAAACCAAGCAGATGCTGACGCGCATACTGCAAAGTAACAATACATGGCATTACAAAATATCAACCAAGACAATGCTAAGAAAAATTATCAATCATTGGACAATGTAAAGAAAAGTGAAATTAATAGTAATGGCACACCAGACTGAGAGTTTGACTCAAGCATGAAAACCAAATACCAAATAATTATGTGTGTGTATACATGTGAATAAAATGAATCAAAAGAGTGCTAAATAAAAAGATAAAAAGAAACAAACCAATCACTTAATAATATCTGCTGTCCTCAATGTTGACCGAGAAAAAATTAATCACTGAATCTTCAAAACATTGTACACATTTATTCTCAATTACAACAGAAACAAATGAATATAGACCATATGCATCATTTATATAAGCAAACTTAACTATTGACATGGAGAAGGATTACCCTCAGTGTGAAACTGGCTGAACTAATAAACATACTGGTCAATGCAGAAGCTATGGATATGGATGCTTGAAATGAAAAACTAAAGGAAAAAAAAATAGTCCAGAGTTCAGACAATGCACATGCAGCTTACTTCTTGTAAATAGTTAATGCATTCAGAGTATCTAATGCTGTCAAGGTTGCTGCGAGGTCCATCTTCAAAATTTGAACTATTTTTGGAATTATCATCAGTTGATTCCTGAAAACGTCGTGATCTTTCTGAACGTGGAAATGTAGATGGCATGTAAAGAACATTAAGATATGAATCAGCAGAAAGAGAGTCGTCGAGAATCGCTGGTGCACTTTTAGCCAAATGTTCATACCTGCAGTATAGAAGATGAATTACTTAGATTCTATACAACTGCAACATAAGAAAAGTTATTTTAATATCTGCCTGATTTATGCAACAAGAAACTGAGAAATATAGGATCATCACTCAAGTCCCTAATACGTTAAAGTGCGCAAACCACTAAATAGACCTAGATGGGAGGTAAATAAATCTTGTTCAATCTTTAACTAATAATAACTGATTTTTAAACTCTAATACTAATTATATTTAAAAGGCAGCAATATGAATAAACTAACATGGTAACATATAGACAGCAAACTAACTAAGCAGATTTATGAAGACAATCAGAATGGGGAAAAACCATGGGACAGAGTCAAGCAGATCATAGTTCACCGAGAAAGAAGTTTACACGTAGGTTAATAGATTCCCAACTAGAATCACCTAATCCTTCCTAACTCAGACTCACACAAGATCTGTTGATCTTCACAGTTGTCATAATGATCTGTCAACAGATCCGCTGCAAGTGCAAACCACTTCTCCATGGACTTTTAATGAAGATTTGAGCTCTGCAAGTTGATAATCAACGGTCTGAATACACAATCCATATCATTATCATCATCCTTGTCCATAATATGGATGGTTCAGCCACATGAATTCTCTTTTTCCATTCTTTTCAATTACAAGTCATGTCACTTATTATATTATATTTTTTTTAAATCATTTCTATTTACTTCAACGGTTCAACCCATGTGGGTTCTGGTCAGTTTCTTTGTCCCTAACCTTCTATGCAAACAAATCTTTTTCTTATTATTGGAGCATCTGAGTCAATGTTGTATACGACCACACCACCCAAGTCTATTTTTTCTTATTTCATCACTAATAGGCGGCACTTCTAGTTTTTCCCTCACAACTTGATTATTAATCCCCTCTCTTTTAGTCACTTCTATCATCCATCTTAGCATTATATCATTATCTTAAGCAATCCACAATGCAAATAAAAAAAGAAAATATTTCTTGAAAGTTGCATCCCACTTACATGGAACGAACAGCTGAAACATCAACAGGTTGGCCCCCTTCAATTGTATTAATGATCTCCAGAATCACAGGTGCAGGATCACCCTTATGCAATTGAAGAGCTTGCCTAGCAATCATGAGCAAAGCAGCACATTATCAACCAGACCTCTTTCTTCAGAATAATCAAAACAATAAAAAAGTTCTAGTAATCTTAAATTCCACTTTGCATAAGAAAATCAATGAGTGACTATAATTGTAGCATACTTAAATTTCACACGAGCTTGTGCATAGTGCTCCATCCGAATCAAAGCATGCCCCCACGAATTCCACACAGGGAAAACATCAATCTGAGAGAAGTTCACATATTGAATCACTATAATCCGAAAGAAAATAAGAGAACAATTTCTCAAATATTGAATCATCATGATTGGAAAGAAAATAAAGAGAACAATAAAAAAACTAGAACTTTTGTGTATGACACATACTTTACACTTCTTGCATGTATATACGGCCATGCTGTACCGTTCATCTAGAATTAACCGGTCTCGGAGACGTGCCGATGATTCTTTATCAGCAATATCATCCAGCGAAGCAGCAATTCCCGACCCCAGAAGGCTTTGCAGCAGTTCGGCACGCCCTAGCCAAATGTCAGCTTGTGATAGAACTTCAGACAGCTCATCAGTGGATTGACTACCCACACTAGAGCTGCCAGCATCAGAGGATGCATCATCTGCATCTCTGCTTCTTTCAGAATTACTAGACAAGTCACTACCTCCAGCAAGCTTTCTCAACTGATACTTGGCAAAAAGCAGTCCCTGTACATGCAGCAATAGAACTATTACTGCAGCAATCCACACATGTAAAAGTGAAGAATCATCCAATCATGCCTTTGTTATTTTTGACATATGTAAAAGCAAGATAAACCATAGTTCCCAAACAAATAACTGGTGGATACCTGTACAAATGTTTCTGTCGCATGATATGCTCGACCAATAGTTTCCATTGATGCACTTTCAGGCAACTGCTGGGAACTCAACACACTTTTCATCTGGTTAATGCACAAGTCTAGAGCACCTTTGGCGGACACTGATTCATCCGAACACAATGAAAGTAACGTCTAGAACAAGACAAAAAACCATCAGTAAAATCAGTAAAAGTGTAATTGAAATCATGGTAAAAAAAATGTAAGCAAGACTACTATTTCTGATATGCACAAATGGTATGGTAAGAAATGTCCACATTGTAACATATGTAGCAATGGTGTAGTAAATATATGTCCAGAAAACCTGTAAATAATTTTCCTTTGAAGACATTAATTTTTACCAATGATGTTGAACCGCAAAATTCTCCATATTCTCTACCGTCTCGTTCACATACACAAAAATTTCCTGAAAGATTTAACACATATATAATATTTTGAAAATAATCCTCTAGTGTTTGAGCAGTAGGTGCAACAATGCTCAGAGATAAGTGCCATGGGCCTCTATGTTAGATGATGTGCCAGCTAAGAAACCCCTCTCCGCTCCTAATCTCATTTCAGTACTTCCAGAAACTGACTCTTTTTTGATGCTCTGATAAATCTAAAAGCATAGATAAATAGATTGATACATAGTTAATTTTTTGTTAACATAGCCTATAAAAATGCCGGTCCTGCCAACTTGGTTTCACACGTAACTGATTTATATATCCTTGATTGTACACAAGATACATGTATACATGTTCTGTAGTAACCTGAAATGTAAATATCAATTATGAAGCAAAGTAGAGGAATATGGTGAAAAGGGTCAAAAGGAAAAGAATTGAGGCCAAAGCTGTAAGCTGTGAACGATCAAACAAGTCACCCAGGTGTTAAAATGAAATTGCTAAGTGGGAATCACTTTTCATGCAACCCAATTTACAAAGATGTTGGGTGATGGGAGGGAGGGAGAGTAAAGAAAGGAAAAGAAAAGAAAAATAAAAAGAAATAGAAAGATAAGAAAAAGTGGAGCATTCAGGAAAAAAGAAAAAAGAAAAGAAAAAAGGGAGCAGAAATGAAACAAGGGGGCAAGAGAGAAGGCAAGATGAAAGAAGGAAAGACCTGAGGAGGTATTTTAGAGAGGAAGGGATCTCTATACCTACTTCTATAAATACTGCTAGTTGCATAGTTGCACTTTGTACTATTGCCAGTGAGTATTTGTCTATGACTATTTGATATTTTCCTGCTCCGCATGTTCATGCACTTATATATGATAATTTAGATTGTTGCATGCATGAAACATGTATGCCCTAATTAGATTATATTACAAGATTATGGATAGCACAGAAAGAGACATGCAAAACGCTTTTTAGGGATGTGGTAAAATTGAAAAATAGAACAATGAATGAAAGGCTGTACAATAATTGTCAAGATAAGAATGCTTTGTAGTATTGTACATGCAAGGGATGCATAGGCCAGAAATTGTAAAGAACTGTTGGGGGCAGTCGAAACGCACGCGAACATCGAGATACAATAAAAGCCAATAAGGTAATGACATACAAACACAAGATATAACGTGGTTTAGCCAGAACCTGCCTAAATCTATGGAGAGAAGAGACATTACAACAGTAGAGTACCAACACCAGACATGTAGCACCCAACAATTCTCTTCTCGCCACTAGTGGCACATGTGTTTTTCCTACTCTACCAACACATGAACCATCTCTACCCATCAAGTCCCCCATGGGACTACATCTCTCTCAATCTCATGAGTCTCAACCGTAACCTAGGTATCTATTTATAGAGTTCTTGACCCAATTCCTTGTTGGATAGGGATTACAATTCCTTGGAGCCCAAGACTTACCTAACAAGAAATTACCTAATAAAATACAACTCAAAAATAGAAACCTGATTAGAATAGGAATTTGAGATGCAATTCCTACCACTAACTCTAGTAAAATCCAAGCCGAACTCGAGTAACCCAACAAACTCAAGGAGCCTAAACCAAGGTTAGGATGACCTAAAAAAAAAAAGCTTGAATTGAACTCCTGGTATTGGGGTTGGCCTGGATGGAGCTTCATACCTTAAAGAGAACAATGTCGGGGGCACTTTCGTATCGATGAGAAGAACGGACAACATCATCCTTGTTAGGATCACCTGTGAGCATCCATTCCTCAGAAATTGAAACGGAAGGAAGCCGTTCTTGCCCATCAGCAGAGTAAAATGAAACACGATCCTCTTGAATACCAGTCATTGTCTCCCAAGCAACTCTTTCAGATTGAGTTAATCCAGAACTCTTCCTTTTCCTGTAAACCTCCTTTGGTGCAGTCTTATCACCAGTATTGCGTGGAGTCCAAGAAAAAGCTCTACGAGCCTCTTTTTGCAAGTTACTTAGACTGTTGGTAAAAGATAACCTTGTAGGCATGCCTGTTCTAGTCTTCTGCTTTGCTCTTGGACCTGAAACTGATATCCGAGGCTCTCTAGAAGGAGAGCTGATACTGACAGCAACAGCTTTGGCAGCATAAGTAAGAATTACGCTGTTGTCTCTCAATGAAGGGAATTCTTTAAGTATCTGCAAACAATATTATCGAATAACATTAGGAATACAAACTGGCTGTGGGGAAACCAAAAGCATTATGAAGTTATAGAGGGAGGTAAGTACGGTACCAGAGAAGCAGATTGAAGCTGTTTTCTCATCAGAAGGACCTCCAGAATCAAATGAGGATGCTCATGCAGAGAAGAACATCTCTGCTGCCATGGCAACGGCAAGGCAGCCAAGACACGAAGACCTACGGCCCATGAATTAAGCCGAGAAACCTCAACATCTGACAAATTACCGTCTCTTCTCTTCAGGAAAAAGTGAACCTTCGTAGAGGATGAAAACAAGGTTCTAGAAGAACAAAATGCTAGACAAGTCGAAGCCATCATAATTAAAAGAAATAAAATAAATTTATGGACAAAACACACTTACTAGGAGCTGCTTTGACCGCAGGTTAGGCAATAGCTGCATTGCACCCACAGCAACTGGTAGAGCATCATCAGTGTCACGTAGGGAAGAAAGAAAACGTGATGCTTCTGCAGGACCTCCGCCATTTAAAGGGTCAGCAGTAAGAAGCTTAACAAGTTGACGACCCTGCAGTTCTCTCCGCAAATCAACTGATAATCCAGCACTTTCAGCCACTTCTAAAGCAGCAGAAACAGCTCCTTTCCCAGCCAATCTAAGTGCCAGACCCTCAGGATCTTCCTTACACTCTGCCTCAACCTGAAAATTGATTAAAGTGCAAAGGAAACAAATACAGTAAGATAGAGATGAAAATAGGTTGAAATATTCTTCATGCATATATTCAATAAAATTTTAAGAAGGAATGAAATTATGACCTCTTGCCAGCTGCTATAATGATCGTCTGCACATAAAACGTGCTTGTACCTCTGCAAGGCTTGTCTCATTTGAATGACCTAATTACCCCCAAAGGAATATGTCATTAAATATAATGGATATGCCACGTAATTAAAGAGACCCTCAAATATATATACCTCATTCTTAAGTGGATCACTATCATTTAAGTGGCAACTGCACATGGTAAGAACATCCAGAGCAGCATCCAGTTCCCATCTGTGCAAATATCTGGGAGAGAGACGCGTAAAACTTTAGGAAAAGGTACACAAAAGTATCAAGGATGTGTTGCACTCACTCACATAACTATATACAATTCAACTGGCGAAATAAGGGTTGAACAAGTTAAATAAAAATGGCCAAAACTTCAAATCCTTCCAAATAAATCCATTGAAAAACTCCTATTTGGAGAGAGAGAGAAGATCTGCAAAGGGGTTCAAGAATGAGATCCTTCCACAAAGACAAGGGCTCAATGCTGAAATACAAGATTTTAAACCACACTTCCAACACACACAGGCTAAATAGAATACAGAGACTTGATTCACTCATAATACGTACTGCAGTCAGAAGGGTACAAATATATAATTATACTCGTAAAATTTAGATATAAGCAATTAAACAAAAGTTAACCCTTATAAGTTCACATACTTGAGGGCAAGTCTAGCAGCCAGCTGTTTATCCTTCAGGCGCAGACAATATTGCCAACTATTGCTCCAAACGCCATGACCAGCATAACCTTGAGATTGCCCAGAGACAAAAATGTTTTCATCGCCATGTTCAATCAGTAGCTGAAGTAGCCGATCCGAGGCTCCATTGCGTAAACAACGATCCGAAAGAGCAAGAGCATCCATTAATTTTCCTTCATCAATCAACCTATTATAGGAAACAAATCGTAAGTATGAGTATGTCACTTCAGCGCCAGTAGTATGACAGGAACTACCTAAACAGTAGACACAAGTAGAGGTGGAAGAGAGAATCAAACAAATTCGGGCAGCAGATAGGGCTAGAGATTATTAATTTTGTGCTAAATAAGCAGATTCATTCAAAAAAGGTTCAATAGGGGAACGTGTCCCATAAACAACAAAGGGATCCTAAGGTCCCAAAGAAGAAATAAAATCAATCATCTCCTCCGGGGAGGAACAAAGCCTACCCGAACCCCAAAAACATAAAGATGAAATAAAAGCGGACTTAAGAACAGCAATCGAGGATTCCTTTCCTTCAAAGGATCTATTATTCCACTCCCTCCACACACACCACCATAAACACAAGGGCACCATCCTCCAAAACCCACAAGCATGACCTCCCACATAGCACCCTCTCCAAGACTCCATCAAACCTCTCGTAGATCGAGGCATAACCCACGAAACCCCAAACATTCCTAGCAAAAGACACCAACAGTCCAAAGCCACTGGACAATGCAACAGAAGATGATCCACTAATTCCCCATTGCACTTGCACATACAATACCAATTAATTGTAATTTGTCTTTGCCTTCTCAAATTATCAAGCGTCAAAATCTTACCCCACACCACTGTCCAAGTAAAAAATGCCACTTTGAGCGGCACCTTAGATCTCCACACTGTTTTCCACAGAAACATAATCCCTGTATTATCTGAGAGGCATCGGAAATATGATCTCACTTAAAACATTCCCCGAGAAGTAGGCACCCAAACAAGCGAATCTCTACCCCTGCCACGGATCACATATCGATACAAACGATCTAACAAGTAGCAAATGTCATCCAACTCCCAATCCTGAAACGCTCGCACAAACCGCACATCCCAAGTAACCCTTCTGCTATCAAGCCGATGGCAGTCAACAACCGAAACATGCCTATTAACAGCAATCCTAACCAATCTGGGAAATGCACAAGCAAGGGTAAAATCACCACACCAAATGTCCTCCCAAAACTGCATATCCCTACCATCCTGAACTCTGAATCTGATGTGTTTGGAGAACTCATTCAACCCTTCCTAATGGATTTCCAAGCTCCGACACCAACAAGAATCCTCACCAAACACGAGCACCATCCCCCCGTTTCTTCCCCAAACCAGCACAAAATAACCCTCCTCCATAACCTATAACGTTCCACTCCAAATCTCCATAACCACTTTCCAAGGAGAGCCCTGTTAAATGGCACCAACCTCCTTATCCCGAAGCCTCCGGCCTGAATCGGCCTACAAACCTGCTCCCATCGAACAAGATGATATTTAAATTCTCCTTGAAGTCCATCCCATAGAAAATTCCTCTGAAGCCTCTCAATCGAACTAGCAACCCCAGTTGGAATCTGAAAGAGGGATAAAAAATAAGTAGGGAGGCTTGATAGCGTGCTTTTTAAAAGAGTGATCTTCCCCCCTTTCGATAAATACTGCTTCTTCCACCCTGCAAGTCTCCTCAAACCATCTCAATCACCGGATCCCAACCATCTCAATCACCGGATCCCAATCACCCCCACCCACCAAGAACCCCTAAATAAAACCCAACTCCACCGCCCTCCCCATCAACCTACTAAGATCTTCCATAACAATAATGAACAAGAAAGGAGACAAAGGATCCCCCTGGCGCAAACCTCGTGAGCTACCAAAGAAACCAGTCAGAGACCCATTAACCATCACCGAAAATCTGGCTGAAGATATGCAGGCCTCAATCCAACTCCTCCATTTATCCCCAACACCCATTCTCTCCATCAAATACAACAAGATCTTCCAACTCACATGATCATAAGCTTTCTCAACATCAAGCTTACACAGAACCCTTGGGACACCACTCCTCAACCTCGTGTACATACATTCACTATTAATAAGAGCTGAATCAAGAATCTGACGCCCACCTATAAAGGCGTTCTGAGATTCCGAAATGATATCATCCAGAACAACCCTCAACCTTAACGCTAGAACTTTAGCTATTAATTTATAAATGCAACCCAACAAGCTAATCGGTCTAAAGTCCTTAACATCCAAAGCTCCCCCCTTCTTTGGAATAAGTGCAATGAACGATGCATTCAAAGAACTCTCAAACCTCCCCTGAATATGGAAGGCATGAAAAGTAACCATCACCTTTCCCCTAACCATCTCCCAACTCTCCAATAGAAATCTCATAGTAAAACCATCTGGCCCCAGAGCTTTGTCCCCGTTACAACTCCTTAGCACCTTCAGCAGTTCCTCTTCAGAAAACGGAATCTCCAAACCATCTATATTAATTTCAAAAATAGCGTCAAAATGCAGACCATCAAGCCTGGGTCTCCATAAATAATAAGGCTCCGTAAACAAATCCTAATAAAAAGAGACAATCCCCCTACATACATCCTCCTCCCTAACCAAAACCTCCCCATCAATAGTAATACTCCCAATGTGATTGCCTTTCCTATGAGCATTTGCAAGCCGATGAAAAAACTTAGTATTCTTATCACCTTCTTTAAGCCATATGGCTCTAGATTTCTGCCTCCAAGAGATTTCTTCCGCCACTGCAATCTCAACAATTTCCTTCTGGCACGCATCCCTCCTACTTTTCTGACCCTCATCAATACCACCCACACCTTCCCGCCTATCAATCTCAGCAATTTCCGCAAAAGCCCTATTCTTCCTCAACTCCAGATTCCCAAACACCTCATTATTCCACCTTTTAATCTCATGTTTCAATCCCTTAAACTTTTTTGCAAGAATAAAACTCGGATTACCATCCACCCTAATCCCCTCCCACCAAGTCCTCACAAATCACTGGAGATCCTTAGCCCGTAACCACATATTTTCAAAACGAAAAGGAGTACGCCTCGTCCTCGATCCACCACAATCTAAAACCACAAGAATATGATCAGAAGTCGATCTAGCCAAAGCTACCTGTACCACGTCCGGAAACTTCTCTTCCCAGTCTCCCGAAAGCAGAAAACGATCCAATCAGGACAAACTTAGCTCCCTCCAACGGTAAATCATGCAGGTGGTGACAATTAATGAACTCAAATAATTGCTCCATAGCCGGTGTCCATCTTCCTCCTGTTGATCTCTCCATCAGGGATCTGACAACATTGAAGTCCCCCCAACACAAAAAACTTAGCTCCCTCCAGCAGAACCCATCCTCCTCCACGGAAAAAGCACACGAAACAGAAAACCTCCCTCTCCGCACCTCCGTTTTCGAAACCCATCTCCGAAAAACTTTTCTTTTGTCCGTGTTATTGAGTCCTCGGACATTCCAAGAAATAATTCGGCACTTCATCAAGAACAAATAGATAATCCTTCACCTTTCCTTCTCCCTCTACCCCTTTCATGGCTCCTCTCCCTCCCAGCCCCATTGCTTCCCTCATAATTCACACCAAAAAACAAACTGCGAACCTCCTTTCCCCCTCTCCACGGAGTCAACCGCTTTTCCCTACTCCCTGTCTGTTTCCTGCTACCCCTCTCCTCCCCAGTCTTACCCTCAACAATTGAATGCAAAACCATACGAGCCTCCTTCTCCTTTGGCTCAAAGGAAATCCCCAACAAACTACTCACACTATCAATATTCTCCTTTACCCAATCCACCCCACTATCCTCATGAGCTACAACAGGAAAACCCCCCTAACTCCCCTCTGGTCGAATCTCAGACAGTGGTTGAATACACTCCAAAACCTCAACCTCCTCCCATGAAACCAACTCCCTGTTAAAGAGCGCATTGTCCTCTGTTTCCCTACCTCTGTCATCATCAACAGTGCTCCCCACTCCAGTACAAGTAAGAGTGCCTAAATGATCATCCAAAACCACCCCAATTGCATCTAAACCAAAATCCAAAATTCGGTTCAGTCCATTCAGCACCTTAATATGCATGTAGCTCCTTTACTAGAACCGAAGCAACTTCATGAACAAGTTTGAACCTCACATTTCTTCCCACACAAACCGTCACCCCATCAACATCTTCCACAGTCAGACCTCTAAACTCATCCTCCCCGAGCATCGCATCCCTTTCTGACAACCCAAGGCACCCACCTCCATTCATCCTCCCATCCTTCTCCTCCTCATCAGCCATCCCTTCCATCATAGGCGAAAGTCTCCGATTTTTCTCCCCCACCGCCCCCCTCAACACCCAACAAGAAGGAGTAGAAGAAGAGGAAGAAGGGGTAGAAAGAATGTTTTGAGATTGCAGAGATAGAGACATACCAGGTCCACATTCCGTATGATTGCGAGTAGCCCATTTTTATCATGACTCCATTGTGAAGCATCAGATTGACCGTTACCCTCAGAAAGCTCAGCCACTGAAGAGAGAGACCCGAACCTGTTCTCTGAAGCACTCTGACAACACTTATCATGCCAAAATTCTTCCCTCTTGCGGCCAACCCAGTATTGTGCTAACCTTCACCCAATTGCTCTTCTATTCTGCCGACCATTGTCTACCCTTAGATCCATGTTGCAGCAGAGGTGCCGATGTCCACATGTCTCTCTGTGACGATGAAAACACTTTATCCTTCATACCTTTCATTTCTCTATCCTTCGTATCAGCGTAGGAGGTGTGTCGGCCTTTTAATCAAATGGATAGCCCCATATTATTGGATCCCCACTGGACCACCCTCTTTCTACCTTGAAAATCATCAAATCCAGTCTAGCCCAACCGTCCATTAACCTTGGGCGTATTAGGCCCACCACCAGCATCAGTCGCTGAAGGAGCTGCCCCTGTGGGCTACCCCAAACCCAGAAACTTCTTGTGGAAAGGCCCCCCCCCTACCAACAGAATTAGATGGGCCAAGCCCATACACCGGCCCATCATCAACAATCATATTTTGCTGAATCATATCTCCTCTAATACACCCATGCGGCCTTGCACGCGTACCATCACTCTCTTCCCCAGTCGCACTCCATGTCGTGAATCTGATGCGTCTCTATCCTTGACCTGAGACCTGAATTTGGAGCTTCATTCTGTCCATGGCAAGACGGTGCTTTCCTCCCCTCCTTTCCTCATCCCGACATATATCTGTACCAGTTAATCCGAATGATGACTTTGGGAAGATACATGGTGTTGCTTCTTTTGTCAGTACCACCTTAAAGGCCACCCATTGATCCTCGACGAACACCACCTCTGGAATCACATCACCGTCGGAGACGAGAAGGACAACTCTATTTCCGGCAACCGAAATATATGGCTCCACTTCACTAAATCCACCCTATGGCTTCGAAAAGCTTGTGACACCATAGATGTAAGGAAAGCCCGTACAACACCACTCTTCTTTTCTTGTTCCTCAACCTCACCGCCGAACAACCAACTGCGAAATACCACACATCCATTGACAAACAAGCATCAACCCGCGTCTTCTTTCCATATACTAGAGCCCGTCGTGCCTCGGATTCCGATAGAAACCTAAACAGGAACAGACCATCCGGCAGAGATGACACCCTCACCCCACAAGAAACCCTCCAAGTTTTTTATCCCCACTCCTCAATCCTCCCAAGACAACCTATGTCCTTGTTGAATCGTCCAACCAAACACATTTTTGAGCATGTCTTCACGAGCCACCGTACTATGAGCATCAACCCTAAAAACTTGCCCCTCTTTGATTCGAAAGGAATCAATCTCACCGTTTGTTGTGAGGCGAGGCAATTTTGCCGTATCAAGGATGGACTTGCCCCCCCTCGCCAAAGTATACAAGTAAAAAGAACATAACTGGTTCTAGTACAGAGGCATTATACCATTGGCCTATTTTAAGAAGCAATTTTGCTTTGATCAGGTGTGGAAGGAAGAGGAGAAGGGCCGGGGGTTTCACCCATAGGTGCCACAGGATCTTTAGAATCGTAAGACACTTAGTGGTGTTATTTAGAAAATCACAAGTATCTGAAATGCCCAATTAAATTTATTGTACTAGCTGGACATATTAACCCCTTGCTAGGTGTTTAAAAATACGAGAACTTTAGGCCTTTTCACCTTTTTATCAAATTACATCTAAAACAAAAACAATTTAATGCAATATCATGGTTATTTATTTAATATTACTTTTTTAAGAGAGAACATCGGCGTCTGAACTTCTTTTTTTCTTGGTGCAGGTGAATTATACAAGTTGTTCGATCATGGCAGAAAGGGAAACCAACCATTGCTTATCTCACTCATATACAACTTCATCTCTCCTTTTCCCTCTTCTTCTCCTATACTTCATGATTTTCTTCTTCCATTCTAACCATTCAAGATGAGAGTTAACAAGATCAAACATCAAAGAAGGCTGCACCTTCTAACGGTCACTAATAATACTCATGTCCATGAAAATAGATAATAGATTGATGAGAAAGGCTACCGAGTTGGGTCTTTTGAGAGGCTTCCGGGTGGGCAGGGAGGTAGATTCTCAGTTGGAAATCTCTCATTTGATGTTTGCTGATGGCACTTTAGTTCTTTGTGATGCGAACGTTTCTCAGATTAGATATTTGAGATGTGTTTTGATTTGGTTCCAAGTTGTTTCCGGCCTTAAAGTGAATGTGGGAAAAAGTGTTTTGGTGCCGGTTGGGGAGGTCCCTGAGATTGAGACTTTTGCTGATATTCTTGGCTGTCATACTGGTTCATTTCCCATTTCTTACTTAGGATTGCCTCTGGGAGCTCCCTCGAGGTGTGTGGGGATTTGGGATCCAGTGGTGGACAGATTTGAGAGAAGGTTGGCGGGTTGGAAGAAGCAGTATCTCTCCAAGGGCGGTAGGGTCACGCTGATTAAGAGCACCCTCTTTTGTCATCCCACGTATTTTATCTCTCTTTTCCAGATTCCCTCTTCAGTTGCGGAAAGGATTGAGAGGTTGCAGCGTAATTTTCTGTGGGGGGTAGAGGTGGAGAGTTTAAGTTTCATTTGGTGAGATGGGACCAAGTTTGCAGGCCAATTCGCAATGGTGGGTTAGGTCTCCGTAAATTGGTGCCCTTTAATAAGACCCTCCTTGGGAAATGGTTGTGGAGGTTTGGGGTGGAGAGACATCAGCTTTGGAGGAGGGTTGTGGCATGTCGTTTTGGGGAAATGAGAGGGTGGTGGAGTTCTTTGGAAGTTAGAGATCCTCGAGGGGTGGGGGTTTGGAAATTTATTCGGAAGGGTTGGGATGATTTTTCCAAGCACATTCGGTTTCGTCTCAGAGATGGGAGGAGGATTCGCTTCTGGGAGGATGTGTGGTGTGGAGATGTGCCTCTTGCCCTCGCCTTTCCTCAGCTTTACAGGATTGTTACGGATAAACAAGCCATGGTGGTTAATTGTTATCATCTTGATAATGGAAGACTGGTTTGGGATGTTCGATTCAGGCGTTCCTTTCAGGATTGGGAGATCGAAAAAGTCATTCGTTTCTTAGAGTTGTTATATCGCCAGAGGATTGTGGAGGAGGATTCGGACTATTGGTCTTGGATTGCAAACTCTCAGGGGCGCTTTGAGGTGAGGTCTTTCTTCAAGTGCCTCTCATTTGTTCCTGGAGTTCGTTTCCCTTGGAAGTCTGTTTGGCGATCCAAGGCTCCTCTTAAGGTGGCTTTCTTTGTGTGGACTTCGGTCCTGGGTAGGATTTTAACCCAGGATAATCTGAGAAGGAGAAGCCAGGTGGTGGTCAACCGTTGCTCTATGTGTCTTAGTGATGAGGAGTCTGTGAATCACCTTCTTATTCATTGCCCTTTGGCTAGAGAGTGTTGGGTTTTGATGCTTGGCTTATTTGGTGTTTCTTGAGTTATGCCTGGATCTGCTAGAGGGTTGATTGAGGCGTGGAGAGGTTGCCCTGTGGGGGCTCTCAGTCAGGATGCGTGGAGGGCTACGCCGCTTTGTGTGTGGTGGTGTTTATGGCTTGAAAGGAATAGGAGATTCTTTGAAGGAAAGGCTTTGTCGATTTCGGTGCTTAAATTCTCGATTATTTCTACTCTTTTTTGTTGGGTTTCAGGAAAAGATCATAGTTCTTTGGAGGAAGTAGTTGATTTCTTAGCCTCTTTGAAGGCTTGAGGCCCTTGTGATCTTTTGTATTTGCTTGGGTTCCGCTCCCCTTCTGAGCGTTTTTTTTCATAAAATTTTTTACTTATCAAAAAAAAAAAAAAAAAAAAAAACTCTTCTGAACCCTATTCAGGGATTTTCTATCATTCAGGTCCATCAAATGAAAAAAGCTCCATGAGAACCAATTAAATTCCTTGAGGGTCAACAACTAGATATTCACAAAGGGAACGTTAAACTGATCCTGGAATTGCTTGTGACGCATTATGAAAAAGAACACTTACGTCTACGTACGATCTAGTATTTTTAGAGCAATGAAATATACTATGCGCTCTAACGAACAATTAAGTTCTCAATCAAATTACAAGAAGCACATATAACCATGACTGCTTGATTACCAATTACATTCACAGTTCCAAGAGTACGGTCTTCACTTTCGGATATGGAACAAAATAATAAGCAAATGGTGTTGAGCAAGAATGTAGGGAACATTTTGAAAATGAGTATAACAAAAAAAAACACAATCCATATGAACAAACACCAAAACTCATTGAAGAAAATGTAAGAAAATCATTCATTAGAACAAGATTTTGAAGAAACGAGAAAACCATCATACCGCTCCACTGCTGCTTCATAGGGCCCTTCATTTTCCCAATCAAAAGAAAGGAAAACCGTCTTATCAATTTCAGCAACTTCAGATTTTGGAGAATCAAGCCAAGGATCAGGAGCTGCATTGCCCTGATTGTTGAGGTCGGGCAAAGCAGTTGATATGTTAGAGCTAACAGCGATTTCATCAACTTCTGACTCGGTATCGCTGTCATGTTCACGGAATCGCTTGATTGCAGTTTTTACTTCGGGTTTAACAACACCATCCTCTGTTGTACGTTCAGATGTTACAGCAAACTCGGAAACTCGGTGAAGGTTAGTTTGCATTTGTATCCAACGATTCAAAGTTGGGAACCTGTTTTCAAAATGGAAAGTAACATTGAACGATCATTTTTAAACCTATAAAGCAATGGTTTAGTTCTCTAATACATATTCTAATGAAAGATTACCTTTCAGATTGATCAAGAGCAAACTCATAGAACAACCTGTCAGAATCAGGTGTCTGCAGCAATTCATCATTTAAGGAACCACATATGGTCGAATCACTACCGTGGTTCAGTATACTACTCCCAAACACACATGCCAACACAGCCCTTACTGGAGATAGTTTAACAAGATGCTTCACTATGTCCAGCTGAAGAGGGTGAAGAGGGATACCAGGTGTGGCTGAGGAACGGCCATAAGAATTCGGCTTAGCTTCTCTAGAAGAGAGGGAAACAAACTTCCTTTCCGGGCAACTCTTAGAACAACTGGGAATCACAGGAATGCATGCCCAACCATGACCAGACCGCGGAGGATAGACAGGAGGTACACATGCTGAAATTACTTCGTGGACAAAATCAGCATACATAATTTCTGCTACCTTTTCAGCTGCATCAGTGCTGCCTCGATCAAAAACTAGACGGGTTAAAAGCTGTAGGTAAAATGATAAAAACATGAGCATTGTTCTCTTTTACTTCAAAGGGAAAAAGAAAAAAGAACAGAGAGAGAAGGAAAAAAAAAAAAAAAAAAAAGAAACAATGAGCATTGTTCCGGCTATGTAGAAACAAGAATACAACATACTAGCTACATCCCGACTCTTTGCCACATTCACTTACTATAGGAGAAAACAAAGATCTTTTTCTGTACAATAACTTTTATCTCTCTAATAAGAAATGAGAACACAATATCTGAAAAAAACGAATTCCCTATGCTATCTTGAATCACAACAAAAAAGTGACATTAATAAATCCAAACAGAATCATGCCCAGATCCTCCAGAAGGTTTATTGAGGCTTGGAGAGGTTGTACAATGGGGGTCCAAGTCCAGGATGCTTGGAGGGTTACGCCTTTGTGTGTCTGGTGGTGTATTTGGCTCGAGAGGAATAGGAGATCTTTCGAAGGAAAGGAGAATTCCACTCTTTTGTTGGGTTGTAGAGAGAAATTATACATCTTTAGAGGAGATTGTTAATTTTTTGGACTCTTTGAAAGTTTAGTGGCCTTGTGTAGTTCTCTTGGGCTTCGCTCCCCTTTTGAGCACTTCTATACAGTTGTCTTACTTATCAAAAAAAAAAAAATTTCAGGACACAACCTATGACATTATGATGAATTAGGACAGAAACCTAAATAGCATACTGCAAGTTCTAAACCTTAAAACAAAGCAAAAGAACTAGATCTTCTAGAAAGAAAAGGTCACAATAAATTTAAGTATTGTTCAGGCAATGCTTTTAAATTCTCTTGCCCAGAAATTAAAGGATCTTTACCAACAAAATTTATATGGCCAGATAAAATTTAAGCAGCATTAGACCCCTTAAATTCAACAAATAAAAATTACTTCAAGGCATGGGATTTCAAACAGAACAATTTTTTTTTAAACTCATCGACATAACTACCCAAATGAGAGGCCGAAGATAAAAGAAGATGTGTGAACCAAGTTTAAACAGAGATGACAAATGTGAAGAACGGAACTGAAATGGAACAGATTAGGGAAAGATATTTAACAAAAAAATTGGACAAAATTTTAACTATTTCTCGCTAGTGTGAAATCTTTATAGATCACTGAAAAGGGTTAGCAATTCAGTTTTTAGAAAGATTCATGGGAGAGGACCTTTTTTTTTTTTTTTTCCCGGTAAGTAAGAATCGAATAAAAAGCGCTCAAAAGGGGAGCGCATCCCAAAGGAACAACAAAAGGCAAAAAAACCTCTAAGCCTTCAAAGAGGCCAAGAAAACAACAATGTCCTCAATGAATCTATAATCTCTTCCCGAAACCCAACAAAAAATAGTGGAAACAATGAAGAACTTGAGAAAAGAAATAGGCAACTCCTTTCCATCAAAATATATCATATTTCTCTCGAGCCAAATGCACCACCAAATACAAAGAGGCGTGGCCCCCACAGGACAATATTTCCAAGCCTCAATAAAACCTCTAAAAGATCCAGGAATGACCCAAAGAAAACCAAACAGACCAAGCATTAAATCCCAACATTCCTTAGCCAAAGAACAATGTAAAAGAAGATGATCCACTGTCTCTTCATCCCGAAGACACATGTAACACCGATTGACCACCACCTGATTCCTCCTCAAATTATCCTGAGTCAAAATCTTTCCAAAAACAGAGGTCCAAGCAAAGAAGGCCACCTTAAGGGGAGCCTTAGAACGCCAAACGGCCTTCCACGGAAAAGGACCTTCAGGCTCTTTTGTGAGACTCCTAAAGAAGGACCGAACATCAAAGCGACACTGAGCATTGGGAGCCCAAATCCAAACATAAAAATCTCCAACCATAACACCCTGACGATACAACACCTCCAGAAGACAAATGGCATCCTCAACTTCCCAATCCTGAAAAAGACGCCTGAATCGAACATCCCAAACCAATCTCCCGCTATCAAGATGATAACAGTTGACCACCCTGGCCTGCCTATCCGTAGCAATCCTGAACAACCGAGGGAAAGCGAGAGCAAGAGGAAGGTCCCCACACCAGACATCCTCCCAAAAACTAATCATCCTGCCATCCCTAAGACGAAACAGAACATGATTGGAGAAATCAGCCCAGCCCTTTCGAATAAACTTCCAAACCCCAACACCCCTAGGACCACGCACCTCAAGAGAGCTCCACCCTCCTCTACTCTATGGGAGAGGGCATTTCTGATTAGTTTCCCACATGTATCTCAAGCATTTCCAATAATTTTGACCCACTAGGCAAATCGCAATTTTGGAACTCATCTTCTATCTAAATAAGTTTCTATGCTATGTTTAAGAGTCATTCCACGCACTTCCAAACTTCTAAAATATTTTACTTTCTTTACGAGGTAAAATCATATTCTCCCAAAATGTTTTTCAGATCTTAGTCATCCAAAATCACACCAAAAACAAATAATGGACATTGTCAAACAACCAAGACAATAACAGATCTTGGCGATAATATTCAAATGCCGATATAATAATATTTAGCCACAAAATTAAAAATCTTACATCTTTAGGCAACTCATAAACGAGTGAGAAATAGTTAAAATCATGAGTTGTATCAGTCCCATCAACTATGTCTCCTATTGCAGCAATATGGAGTATAAATTGTGATAGATAAGTGGTAGGCTTGGTACTCAAAGGGCCAAATAATCTCTTTCCAGCATCTTTGACATCATAACCGGAAGGCTGCACATTATTTTCACCAGCTGATGAATTGATTGATGCCTGTTTGATAGCTCTTAACCCAAGCCCTAAAACTCTATCCTTGTCATAGTCTAGAAGAACTTTCCTATCAGGATATGAGCCATCCCCTTTCATATAATCTCTTTCTGTTTCTTCATCAGCAACAGCCCTTGCAAGGTTGTGAAGCTTACCTGAAATTTCAAAAGAAACATTAAAAGCCTCGGAATCATAACACTTCCAGTATAAAAACAATAAAACGATAGTCAATATTGTAATTTTTTTCAAATATTTAACATTATTATCATTAAAAAAAACCAATAATTAACTGCTCCATAACTCAAGAAGAAGAAAAGAAGAACGTACCACTTAGAAACTGCCGCTTCCCCCTGTGAGCATCTTCAATCATTTGATGCAACAGAGCAAGGGCACGTTCCCTGTGTCCCTGCCGGTGAGACTCTTTTGATGAAGAAACGGTAATCTCCCCAGATAAGATGGCCTGAAGAGCTGGTGGTTTATCCTGGAAAAATAAATCATTAAGCAAATTGATCTCGCAAAGCTTATCACGTGCTTCACGCATTAGAAAAGAATAACTAAGAAAATAGAAAGTGCCAGCTACACTAACTTGTAAAGTCTTCTAGGTATCAGTAACAGAGACAGGAATTTATTTCAGGGAAGGCACATTGAACATGACAGAAAAAATAATTTTTATCCAACATGCATAAATAAAATAAGAACAAGACTAAAAAAAGAAAAGAAATGAAGAATTCGAGATATTTTCAGAAAGAGAGAATTTTAGCAGGGACATTTTGTAAATTTCACAAAATTACACATAAAAGTAATCAAACAAGTTGCTTATTCACCATTCTTATTGTGACATCCCACATTAACTAGGGAGGAGACAATACTAGCACTTATAAGGGGTAATACCTCCTACCTATTTAAACACATTTTAAAAACCATTAGTGTTAGGAGGAAGCAAAGCGAACAAGATATGCACAGTGTGAGGCGCATTTTGACAGTCAGTCAATCCCCAACTGGAATTTCAAAAGAGCGTGAAGAAGCCCACAAGGGTAGCAATGAGGACTAGTCTAGTGGGCGAGTGTTCCACCATTGTGGAGTCTGGATAGGGTAAGATGTACACAACCTTACATTCAGATATGAAAATTTACCGTTTTGAACCCATGACCTCCATATCACCATGGACGAAGCCGGCATGGTCCCCCCAGGCCCATGTTGGCCCCATTAAATTTTTTTATTTTTAATGTATATAATTTATTAAATTCCCCACCTAAAATAATTTTCAAAAAATCTTACTCTTTTCCTTCCTTATTCTCCTTCTTCATTTTTTTAAATTCCCTATACGAAAAATTAAATTTTTTTGTTTCTTGAATTATAAAATTTATTTTATGTTATGTGAAGAGGAGTTCTTGCTCCTCTTCTGATGATTTAATTACTTTTTTGGATTCTTTTGGGCCTTAGACCCCGGTTCCTCTAATGTTTAAGGGACGCATTCCCCTTTTGAACGCCCTTTTTAATTTATTATTACTTATCAAAAAAAAATTTATTTTATGATATGTTAATATGCCCCCCACCCCCACAGAAACAAATTCCTGGCTTCATCCTCATCCCAATTATCACAATGGAGCAACCTATGCACCAAGGCCGCTCTCATCATTATGACGTCCCATATCACCTGGGGGAGAAATTGCTAGCACTAAAAAGGAAGGATTTCTCCTACCTTAGTGTATAAGGTAGGCAATTTGTGTTTCCGTGTCGTATTTGTGCCACGTTCATGACATGAGTTCTTGTTATATGGTTCGACATGAATACGACACGATTGTTACTAGTGTCAACGAACTTGACACAAACATGACATAATTATTAAATAGGTAACATGACACAACCCCTATAATTTGTTTAACAAAGAGGTCAACACCTGCCACGACACACGAAGACGCGTTAATCAAAATTTCATACCCTTAGGGTCATTTCTAAGACAACACGTTTATCTAACAAGTTTAGTTAAACGGGTCATTTCGAAATTCTAACATGAACATGACACGTTTAGTTACACAGGTCTAACTGGATTATAAACAAATTGACAGGTCAAATAGGAACACGACACCTTTAATTAGCGTGTCAATTCACGTCGACACAATTATGACCCAAACACAATGAAGCCAATTCCAAACTCACGTATCTTGTGTCATGTTCAAATCATGTTACCTGCAGACGCATTTTAAAACCATGAGCACCAAGAAGGTGCAAATCAAACATACTACATAGTGTGAGTTATTAAAGATGGTATCAGAGCCAATTCTCAAATGGAATATGAGGGACGGTGCATATGCCCACGAGAGTCATGTTAGGAAAGAAGTTAGGTCCCTCGAGGGGGTGATTGTGATGTCCAACATTACATGGGGAAAGAAGTTACTAGCACTTATAAGGGGAATGTCTCTTACCTATGTAGGCGCATTTTAAAATTGTAAGCGCCAAGAGCATGCAAAGCGGACAATATCTGCAAAGTGTGAGGTGGGTCCTGACATTTATGCCTCCACAATTTTTTTTTTTTTTTTTAATAAGTAAAAATTTATTAGAAAAGCGTTCAAAAGGGGAACGCGTCCCTAATACAAAAAACGAAAGTTGAACCTAAGGACCAATAGGGTCCAAAAGATCAACTAAGTCATCAGTCAAGGAGCAAGCACTTCTTTTCACATAACAGAAAATAGAACGAAGAATATGAATTTTCAAGGTCACCAAAAACTATTCCTTTCCTTCGAAATTTCTGTTATTCCTCTCTCTCCATATGCACCACCAAACACAGTGTGGAACTATCCTCCAATAATCACGAGCGTGACTTTTCACTGGGCATCTTCTCCACGCGTTAATCAGTTCTATAGAGGACTAAGGCATTACCAATGTACGCCAAAAATGCTGAAGATAAGGTTCCAACGATCATACGCCAAAGGATAGTGCATAAGAATGTGATCCACTGACTCATCGTCTGTTTTAAATAGACAACACCAATTAACGATAGTGTTGCCTCTTTATCTCAAGTTGTCCAACGTCAAAATCTTGCCCCAGACGGCAGTCCAAACAAAGAATGCTACTCTAAGTGGGGAGCCTTAGAGCGCCATATAGTCTTCCATGGGAAATCAAGACCAACGAAGTTGGACAAACAAAAGAACATGGACCGAAACACCAAAAGAACATGAATTTTTGTTTGAGCTTGGATAGGGTTTTGTTGTTTATTCCAGTATATTTTGGAGATATTTTCATGTCTAAGCGATCCTCAAAACTTCTTTGATGCATTATATTGATTCACATGTGCAAATAGACCCAAAGGGGGAGAATAAGACTCTTCACATTATAACCTTATGGTAACTTCTTTTTCATTTTCTCAAAAAAAAATCCACCAAAAAATATATATATAAAAAAGCAACTACGCACTTCTTCTAAGAATTACCTACACATTACTTGTAATAGTCCTAACCCTACCCGACACAATATTGTCTGCTTTTGGCTCCCCCGGACCAGACTTTCCAGGAGGTCACCCTTCCTGGTACTCCCGCATAAGCACACTTAACAGCGGAGTTCTGACGGGTTCGTGGCCATCACGGCTTTTAAACGCAGTGTCATAGAAGGGTGTTGAACCTAAATAAAGCACTTCACATTTACCTTCCTCAAGCGATGTGGAGTCATGAAACCCATAGCCTTCTAGTGTGATAGCTCGCCCAGTGTCTCTCGCACCCTCCCACATCACACCCACCCACAACTGTTGTCACATTGCTTTACCTCCCATGTACAATATTTCCAGCCAATCTAGGAGCCATCCAAAAATCACTAACCTACTACTCTCAATTTTAATGCTATTGCTCCAAACGATCCTCTTCTTCTTCAGCCGTGAGAGTAAGCTAAATAATCCACCACTTAAACCAATTCTTCTCCATAAGAAAAATAACTAAACCAAATGTGTGAAATACTTTATAATGGTGTCTCTTCCACTAGTTGCTCCTCAAAATTATCAATTAATACTTCACAACATAAACACACAAAGAGTTAAGGTTCTCCCAATCATTTCCCAAAAAAACTATGCGTAAAAGAAATATCTCACTCAAATATTAACATGCTTTAAGCTCATCAATGATGTGCAAGCCTGCGCAAGAAAAAACACGTCTTAGATCTCTACGGAGTGATCCTCCCCTTTTTCCTTTTCCATGTTTTAGAACCCTAAAACCCTTTAACACCACTAAATTTTTGAGGATCTGATTAATCACATCAACAAAGTTTCCAATAACAATGTCCGTAAGTCTGTACTTTTGGCAAGAACAAGATTTAGTTGAGAGTCCAAAGAACTTTAAATTAAGTAAATAATATAGCATTGGAAAGCTTATTGAATCTAGCTTTTTGGACATATAAAGATCATCACAAGATTCCAATTATAAAGAATTTCATGTCTCCAAAAAGGCAAATAGGTTAAACTGTAACAACATTCAATCACCAATATTGGCAACAATTCTAAACCAACTCAAACTTATACAGATTCATTTAAGTCAAAATAAAACACATTTTATAATTTTTGCATAGTGAAATCTTCCGTTAAATTCACATTGGAGTAGGCTTATGCCGGACCACATAAATCTGTGATGACGGTGTTTTTATTTTTCCTTTTCTCACATTCATGTGCAATACATATTTTAATGGGATGGGGATATGTGTAATGGGATTTTGGGATTATTTTAGGCTTTTCTTAGAGTCACGGACTCTTATAAATGCATTTAGGATAATTTCCCTTCACTCTGGGTTCGTGGGCCGGGAGGTCGCTTGTGTGGGCCCATGTTGGATTGTGTGTTAGGGAATTATTCCCGACACCATTTATTTTATTTTATGTGGTGTAGAGACATGCATAGCATGGTGGATATGTTGTAGGACATTATATGCATATGTTTATAGATGTTTATCCATACATGGCATGCTTGTAATTTAAGGGAATTTGGTGGGGCCCTTGTTTGACTTTTGGGGTAATTGTGTATATCTAGTATACAAGTGAAGAGAGAGGAAGAGATAAAGGCATTTTCAGCCTCATCATTTGGCATCAGACACTTCTCCTCTATCTACTTTCTTTTTCTAGAACTAGAATTTCATGGCCATGTATCATTAGCTTCCTTTGAGATTTAGACAAAGTCATACAAGGAAATCTTGGAGATCACATCAAGAGCTACAACCCTATGATTTTTATTTTCAATTTGGAGCATCTTCATGTTGGGCTGAATTGGGGCTTTTTCTTCTAAGTGAGGTGGGGGTGTCTAACTACCAATTTTCCTTGGTTTATGTAAGGGATTGTATGTTTTCTCCTTACATAGCATGCTAGTGTAGACATTTTATAGCATACAATGATGATGGGTTTACTATCATGCTTGTAATCCATGTTAATCGTGATGTAGTTGGTGTATTAGCTTTCCTATTTGAGTTCTAGCATGATTGGTAAGTTAATTTGTATACTAGTATACTCTTATGTTGTAAATTCTAGTGTAGACATATATAAATGTATACATGTTGATGTTTAAGTGCTTAAACTTATAAATCCATGCTGGAAATTATATATATTAGTTGCTGGAGATTCTGGAAATTAAGATTTATTGCTGGAAAACCTCATTTAGGTGCCGGAAATTATATGTATAGGTGCTGGAATTTATATTTAAAGTGCTGAAAGTTATATTTAAGTACTGGAAATTATAGGAAGGTGCTGGGAATTATAGGAAGATGATGGGAATCATGTAAATGGATGAATTGTCCTATCTTGACGTTATAATTGGATTCAACATGTACAATTGTTTTACTTATGTGCTAGCATGCTGTGTGTTTGTCAACATGTCTATATGAAAGTCGTTCTTTCTGGCTGCCCATTTTGGAAGCATGTATTAGCTCAATCCCTTGATTATTACTCACATTGCATTGCAGAGAGAGTGTGTGTGGTGGAACACAAGTGTGAGTATTGAGTTTCCATAAGTTTATGGTGCTGATTTTCCTAAGTTTGTGGAAAATGGTTTGACAAAAAGATTGGTTGAGGTTGAAATAAGAAGGGCATGGCTCTAGGGTTGAAAATCCCAAAACTTTGCCAAGCGGGTGTCGTTACCGATGGGCTAGTAACCCGTGAAGCGAGGGTAGGGATATGGGAAGGTACCCCACATTCGGGTCATGAACCAATCCATGTCTTTGTGTTGGTTTTTGGATCACAAGGTTGTGTTGTGTGTGAGTCCATGGGGCGGACTTCATGATGCATAGGTGTTCATTAGTATATGATTTGGATGATGTTCCTAAAGCTATTTTGTTGGAATTATGTTGTAGTACCAGTATGCCATCGTGGTATTACTCTTTGGAATTTGTGGTAACCTGTATATCTCCTCTTACTTTTATCCCCATAGCATGATCCCTTCTTCTTTGTTTCGCTGTGTGCTATGTGAGCATGACTTACAAGACTTTAGGAAGTGTTATTTAGCCACTCTCTACTAAGCAATTTTAAGCTCACCCGTTGACAACATTTCAGGTGAAAAACAAGTGGAGGTAAAGACTCCTCAATCTCATCCTTAAAGTTGCCATGTGAAGCTTGCAATCCGCTTTGTCTTGTGCACACTAGCATGTCATAGCTTTTGGTGTAAATTGATGCTATTCATGAAATAATGTCTACATATATTTTGTTGTGAGCACGTAATCTAATGATATAACTACGCTACATGAGGGACTTGTACCACCTTTGATGTAAGGCATGTATGATATGTAACTAAGGCTATGGTTATCCAACTTGGTGCTTGTAAATATATGAAGTGTGTTGATTTTGAAGCTCTAGCATGATAAATGGTGGTATGAGGACTTAAAACAGGTTTTGTGATATTTTAGGTGAGCACCATACTAGGGTTCAATTGGGAACCTAAGGACTTGGTTTATTTCTTTCATATTCACGGGTCCTACAAATTCGGGCCGTGACAAAATCGTCCTGTTCTTTGTGGATGGCGTGTTTACTTTTCTGTCGTGATTCTTGTTTTGTTCTTGGTTCGCTACATTCGTTGTAATACCACCTCTAATTGGAAAAGAATTGAACATCAATCATATGATTGGGTTTCATATCTCATCTTTAGAATGGTTTTATGGTATTATTGCATAACATTGATTCTTTAGCAATCAAATTTTGCTTTATGGCAACTTTCTTGGTTTTCTTGTACCGTGGACTAGATTAACTTGATTATGATGGTTTTTGAACCTTGCCTCCCTTCCTAATTTCCTGTAGTAATTTCATTGAAATTTTCAATTAAAAAAAAAAAAAAGAAATTACTTCATAAAAACATCCATCTTTTATATATATATTTTTCACAACCCATCTTTTATATTCGAACTCAAATTTTCCACCAGCAGTTTCAGTTCAAGTCCCAAAAGCCCTACTTTGTCTAAACATGTACCATTTTAACGCCTTCTCTAGGGGGAAAAAATGAAAATTAAATTTCAAAACTTCTTTATCATTTTATACTTGCACTTCTCTGTTAGAAGATAAATTGTGTTTCTTATCATAGAAAAAAATTAAAGCAACAAGAAAGCATCATCCTATCATCTGTAAATAGCATTTTAGAACATTCAACAACTTGACCTGATCCAAATATCAAATTAAAATGAAATGGAGACCTAGACAAACACTATCAACTAAGATGTATCTACTACATTGGCACATTGTATGTTTCAACCATACAAGGTAATGTACTAACAAAACAGCTTACAAAAGAGGAAATGAAGCTATTAAACAATTCTCTACTCATTTCAATCACAAATTTCCACACCTAATGACAGTTCATTGTTAGCCGAGATATGATAACCTAGAATCATGGGATATGACCTACTATATTAGCCGAGATATGATAGCCTAGAATCAAGGAATATAACTTTATTTATGCATATATTTAGGTATAAAGTCTTCCGTGATTTTATTTGATTTCGTTTCTTGTAATATTTAGCATGTGCTCTTTTAGTATATAAATACCACAACTGTGAATGAGCAAGCATTTTCATTCAGGCGTTTACATATTTCTCTTGTATTTCTGCTTTCATAATATGAGTAAAAGGGATTTACAAATGAGCCACATCACAAACAGTTACCTGTTCCAAAAATTCATGCAGACGCTTGAGAACACGCCTGTTTACAGAAATAATCCCAACTTCATGTATCTGATCCCAATAAGTTGAGCCTATCTTAGGAGAACCTCCGGGATAAATTTCAGATAACATAATCTGAGCCTGCATAAGACAAAGTTGATGCACTGTCTCAAACCAAACTATTTTTTTTTTTTTTTTTTTTCTGATAAGTGTCTCAAACCAAACTATTTTGAAGCACTTAACTTTGCTACAAAATTGAAAACATCAAACACACCATAAAAGAAAGCATAAATGGTAGTGACACCAAATGTAAGGTGGGAAGAAAGAGCTAGAAACAATGTAAGGTGGGAAGACAGAGCTAGAAACACATAAGCCGAAGGGAAAAATAAAAAAATAAAAAAATAAAAAAAGGAGGAAGAGAGAGATCACCAAAACTTCTACAGATACACTGCAAAAAATAAAATAGAAAATAAGAAGGCAAACAAACCCGATGTAGAACAACAATTAAAGTAGTGCCACCCGCAACTAGTTTTTCAACACATTAGAGCAACAAAAACCTTTTAGGTAAAGGATTTAAAGGTAAAATAGAATTCGCTTGTATAGGTTGTTCATGATCAAAAAAATAGATTGCTAAAAATTACAGACAGCAGGTATTTTTAAAGGTCAACACGTAAAAAAAGGTTTAGGGGTGTATGGAAGTAGTGTCAGGTAAAAAGCTAAAAAGTAAGAGCTCCATCAGATTAGGACTGTAAAATTTGATTGCAGAGAATAAAAAAGTAAAAGAACAAAAGAAGCCAGGAATCTCGCCTAGTATACTTTAAGCTTCATTCCAGGTCAACCGTTACACACATGACACAACACATAAAGCCTCAAAAGCTATTCCTAGAATCACAAAACCAAATTACACTGAATTTAAAATGAAAAAGATCTTTGCACACCGCTTGAATCTTACAATTGCTCAGACTACAACCCCAACACAAAAAACTTTGACACACTGATAAGAGCATTTTGGACCTACCAAAAATCCAATGACAATACTAAAAGAAGAAGAAGAAGATTACACCCATGGAACACCACTTCAGTTCAAGTCCAGAAAACCTAAAAATATATAATATAATAAAAAAATGAATAAAAACAACAATAATAACATATTAGACTACACATAATACAAGTTAAACTCAAATGAAACCAAAACATGATTAATTAAGGTCTAAATTGAGCCTTATATCTAATTCCAATTTGCCCTGTTTCTAGTTAACACCACAAGCACCTGAAATTTTTTTGAGTACAACACAAGAATGGCATTAATTTCTTCTGTTGGGACATAAATAATTTTGCACACATTAACTGATGCAGTGGCAAAATAAAATCCCTAATTTTCTGCTGGCAGCTTTCTGAATTTTTGGAAACTTCCCATATTCTTATTTTTGGAAATTTTCCATATTCTGATTTTTGGAACCTTTTCTGATTTCTGTAATTTTCTGATTTTTAGTAAGTTTCCTTTATTGTAATTAAGCCAATTATGGCTAGGATTGCTAGGAGACTCTATATATAGGGTGGCTAGGGTATTGGAGATTTTTAGTAACTTTCCTTTATTGTAATTAAGCCAATTATGGCTAGGATTGCTAGGAGACTCTATATATAGGGTGGCTAGGGTATTGGAGAGGTGGTGATTAATATTATTTTTTTTAATAGATTAGCAGCAACGAGTGTTTGTTCGTTTGTTTTCCTCCTTGTTCTAGCATTATTTTCCTTCTTCATTTATTTATTTCTTGCTTTAAACGACAACTGTTTGTCCTCTCTTGGTAAGGCGGCAGGTTCGGCTTTCCAACTGCTCAATCATGCCTCCACGACAACAACCAAGAGAACACATAGGATGCAAGTTCCAGCCAAGCCCTAACCCCAGCAAGTCCAAAATGAAGTTGAGAATCTGCGGATACAAGTTGAGATGTTGAACCAGCAATTGGCACGACATGTTATCAACCAGCCGGTTGATGACAACTTTCTGATGAAGGATGATCTGTCCGACATTAGAACTTTCGCGAAACATCCATTTTATATTTCGCGACACCACAGATCACTCGACGATCGAATCGACCATCGTTGGGAAGCGAGTATCAAAATTGAGATTCCTGAATTTCACGAGTCTTTTTTTTTTTTTTTTTTTTTTTTTTTTTGATAAGTAAAATTTATTGAAAACGCTCAAAAAAGGGGAGCGGAACCCAAGAAAACAAAAAGGCCACAAAGCGCCTTAAAACTTCAACAAGGCCAAAAATACAATAATCTCCTCAATAGATTTATAATATCTCCCTGACACCCAACAAAAAAGAGTGGAAATAATAAAGAATTTAAGCGCAGAAATAGATTTCTTCTTTCCATCAAAATATCTCCTATTTCGCTCGAGCCAAATGCACCACCAAATACAAAGAAGCGTAGCCCTCCAAGCCTCCCGAATAAGAGCCCCAACAGAGACACCTCTCCAAGCCTCAATCAACCCTCTAGAAGACCTAGGCATAACCCAATGGATTCCAAATAATCCAAGCATCAAATCCCAACAATCTCTGGCCATACTGCAGTGCAAAAGAAGGTGGTCAACGGTCTCCTCATCACACAAGCACATATAACAATGATTAACCACCACCAGATTCCTCCTCCTCAAATTATCCTGGGTTAAAATCTTGCCTAGGACGAAAGTCCATGCAAAAAAGGCAACCTTAAGGGGGGCTTTAGACCGCCAAATAGACATCCAAGGGAAAGAGCCTCCATAATCAACCGAAAGGCACTTAAAGAAGGACCTAACCTCGAACCGACCGTGAGAGTTAGGAACCCAAAACCAGCAATCCGAATCCCCAACAATGATCGACTGACGGTACAAAACTTCCAAAAGACGAGTAACATCCTCAATCTCCCAGTCCTGAAAATGTCTCCTAAACTGGACATCCCAAGTCAGTCTCCCATTATCAAGGTGATAACAGTTAACCACCATGGTCTGTCTATGAGAAGCAATCCTATAGAGCCGTGGAAAAGCAAGAGCAAGAGGAAGTTCCCCACACCAAGATCCTCCCAAAATCTGATCCTTCTGCCATCTTTGATCCGAAAGCGAACATACTTGCAAAAATCATCCCACCCTTTCCAAATAATAGTCCAGACCCCCACCCCTCTAGTACCGCGAATCTCAGCAGAACACCACCCACCACTAATCTCCCCAAACTTGCTTAAGATAACTCTCCTCCAAAGCCAATGCCTCTCAATCCCAAACCTCCATAACCATTTCCCAAGGAGAGCCTTATTGAAAGGCACCAATCTCCTTAATCCTAAACCTCCACGCCGAATCGGACGGCACACCTGCTCCCATCGAACCAAATGAAATTTGAACTCCCCTCCTCCCCCCTCTATTCTCTCAGCCACAGAAGAAGGGATCTGAAAGAGCGAGAAGAAATAAGTGGGGAGGCTAGAAAGGGTGCTCTTAATCAGAGTAACCCGACACCCCTTTGAGAGATACTGCTTTTTCTAACCTGCCAGCCTCTTCTCAAATCTATGTACAACTGGATCCCAACTCCCTACGCATCTCGAAGGAGTTCCCAAAGGCAACCCTAAATAAGAAATGGGAAATGATCCAGTGCAACATCCAAGAATCTGAGCAAACCTCTCGATCTCAGGGACATCCCCAACAGGTACCAGGATGCTCTTACCAACATTCACCTTAAGGCCAGAGATAACTTGGAACCAAATCAAAACGCATTTCAGATATCTCAATTGAGACTCATAAGCATCACAAAGCACTAAAGTATCGTCCGCGAACATCAAGTGGGAGATCTTTAGTTGGTTAGCAACATCCCTGCCCACCAGAAAGCCTCTCAAAAAATCCAACTCCACTGCCTTCTTTAGTAATCTGCTAAGAGCTTCCATCACAAAAAGGAACAGGAATGAAGAAAGCGGATCCCCTTGTCTCAACCCTCTCGAAGAAGAGAAAAAACCCGTCGGAGCTCCATTCACAATGACAGAGAATCGAACACTGGAAATACAGAAAAGAATCCATCTCTTCCAACGCTCACCAAAGCCCAAATAGCGACTTGGGCTTCTCGTGTCTGGAAGGTTTCCTCTGGTGTTATTGTTTCTCCTTTGCCAGATTCATTACTGCTTTTTCGATTTCCTTCTCCGGCTGAGGCTTCACGTGTGCTCAAAGAAGGTCGCCGTGTATGGGGGACGGCCACTCTACGAGTGGATCCCTGGAATTTTAGGGTGGGGTGTTCTAAGATTCTGAAAGGACAGGGTCTGAAGATTGTGACGCTTTATGGTCTCCCTCTTCACCTTTGGAGTCATTCCCTATTCGTTACGGTTGGAGATTTGTGTGGTGGGTTTATATGGGTGGATGCTGATGAAACTATCGACGCTGAAAGGGTTCGTATCATAGTGTCAAACGGAAAAGTATGCCCTCCTTTTGTCTTCATTCACGATGACCGGTTTTGTTACAAAGTTGCGGTGTGGGAAGAGAAGCCTCCTGTTCTTGTGCCGACGACGGACAGTTTGGAAGGAGGTGATGGCTCGCATTTGCTAAAGGAGTCCGAATGGTTAAGATGGGATTCGATGGGGAAGAAGGGTTTGGTTGAGTATCAGAGATGGATGGAATGGAGTAATGATCTTTGGGTTCGAAATTCGAAATTCTTTCATCATCTTTTCACTCTGAGAAGAAAGGAAGGCTCTTCGATTAAGTCTGACCATCGCCGGCAAAAGGGATTCTGGGAGAGAAACAAAGGTGGGTGTTTCACCGGGCTTGGCCTTCCGGCGTTCATACAGATGTGGAAGATGAACCGACATCACAATTCTTTTCACACGAGTCAAGCGCGTGGGAGGGAGAGACCTAATGGTTTTACACGTGGTTGGCGTAGAGGGATGGGCTGTTTAAACTGGAGGACAGCTGGATCCGATGCAATTTCAAAATCTAGGGTCTCAAAAAATGCGTTGACTTTGTCTAAAATTGAGTCTGTGGCTGAGCCTAATGTTGGGCTAGTGAATAGGGTCTCTGAACCGTTTGGGCCTTCCTTTTGTAGGCCTGGGGTTGTCATGACTGGATTGAGACATGTGCCATCATGTGGATCGGATGGAAATGGAGCGGCCCATCCAAAAGAAGTTGTTTGTTT